CGATTCCCTAAAACCTAATTTTGTGTTGTGATAATAAAAAAACGACGGGTTCCACTTCGGGAGTGCCGGCAGAAGTAAAAACTTGAATATTAACGTTGTGCATTTTTGATATTTTGGAATGGTTAGGGAATAATTTTGCACGAATTGCTTTAATTATTAGTATAAAATTATAGTACTAATAATAATGATAGTACATCATTTATGTGGTAGAATAAAATATTTATTTATTGCGCTATCGTACACAAACATGATAATTTATATTACATTAAATACGCCGCGCCAGCTATCTACTCTCCATCCGTCTTACGAATTTTCGATCAGGTCACGTGTCCTGACGCGAGTTTATAATTTTTTACCCATTCCAAAAAAGTGTACAACGCCGCTAAAGAAGTTTTCACTTCAGAAATCTGGTACATTATGAATTCATTGTGAAATGGAAGCCCTAAGAACATATTCAATATGTTGTCCAGGAAAATCGTACCCTATAAAATAATGTTTAGATTTATTTATTATTCTAGTTAATGACAGCGGCTGCGTTCGCACGAAATGTAAAGTTATATGTAAAGAAAATTATGATTTTAACCGCTGGTTTCCACATGGTAAAATAAAATAAAAATATGTTTATCACTTATTCCACGTCATTAAATTTGAAGAAGAAGCGAGTAGGCCGAGAGTAAAAGCCGGCGTAAAAAACTCTCGGTACTCTTTTAAAATAGCAAATCATCATACAAAATGACTATGGCAAACAACACTTATTTTAAAACAAATATCGCAAATTAATTAGAAGTAGCCTGTCTAGTCCCAGTCCCTTTTATCAACTCCATAATCGTTAACTTTTTAGTAAACCTTTTTACGCAGCTCTTCTTTAATGTATTTCTTAAATTTATTAAAAGACAGAGATAAAAGAGCCTCTGGGATTTTATTAAAGAAAAGTCCCTTTTCCCAAAAAAGAATTACTTACTAACTTTAGATAGTCTAGTACAGGGAAATTGCAGCCAGCGTTTGTTCCGAGTAGTTCTACACTAGTAATTTAAAAGTTAAAAAGAGTTTATGCTTTAATACATTTTTCCCTTAAGGGATCGTATTTCCAATATTCCCGCTTGTGACCTTAGAAATTTATCCATTCATATATACCTCTACATTTGTTAAAAAACACGTAAGACAATTTAAACTGATCTAAAATGTTATATCATTTTCTTCTTTATTGTATTAATATTAGGTATACTGTATAAGGGAGCGTTCAAGTATTACGTAACGCAATTAAAAAACGCAAAGTAAAAAACGCACCCCATGAACTCGCCGTAAGGTTTTTTCAGTACCCAAGTACAGTACTGTACCCAAGTCTAGTAAAACGTTTCGTGACCACCTAGTGACTCTTTAGTTACTATTATGTGGTGTAAGTAGAAAATAATATCCCCGCCCCGCATCGTTGCGTTTTACAAAAGGACCCCCCTTCCCAAAATTCGTTACGTAATACTTGAACGCTCCCTAAATTAAAGGCCGGCAATGCACTTGCGAGCCTTCTGGCAACGTAAGTGTCCATGGGCTGCGGTATTACTTAACGTCAGATGAGCCTCCTGTCCGTTTGCCTCCTATTACATAAAAAAACATTAATGTTCTTGTTATTAACTGGAACGTAAATAAACGAACTACTTAGCAACCAGTACCTAATAAAGTAGTTTTATTACGTTTTCTATGCTTATTATCTCGAATATATTAGATCCTTCAATCAACACATTTTCTTGCTTAATTTGTTATGCTATAGCTATTTAATTTGCAATAATACAATGCAGCTGAATTTAATTTTGCGTTGTTTCCGTTATTAGATAATTACAACCCTTTCCCTCGCTAATGTGTTTAGCTTGGAGTTCCCTGCTTATATAATATTAAATATTATTTATTAATTAATTACGTAAGGGAAAGATAAGAAAACATCTTCCTAAACACGGGAGTATATAATCGTGTATCCCATATACATTTCATTCCTATTAAGGTACTACGTAAGCATTATTAAGTTGTAGATCAATTACAATAATATTTTTAATTAGTTAATTTGATCCGTGCAGTTCGTAGGCTGTATCAATAATAAAATGTTAAGGGAAGTCCTTACAATCTGGTGTTTCATAAAAACACGCACTGCATTTTTTTAAGTTGTTACGATTTTTTATGCAAAGGCTTCTCGTTATTAGCTGAAATCTTCCATTCCTTCTGACACCTGTAATGAGATTGTAAGAATATTCGAATTTATAAATCACATGAAATGTAATTAACACGCCATTTAGATGGTTATTAGAGCAGTGTTGGCCTATTGGTTTTAGCGTGCGACTTTTATCACTGAGGTCGCAGTTTCGCAGCCCAGCTGTGCACCGATGAACTTTCTATCAATGTCCGCATTTAACAATACATTGACGGCGTGTGATCAAACTAAGGCACAGAAGGCTGAGTATCTACATGCCTTATAGAAAAAAAAATGATTACGAAACACATACAGAAATGTAACGCCAAGAAGGGTTGTAGCGCCAGTGGCTTTTTTACCTCAATATCTAAAGGATGGTAAATTAACAAAATTATGCTCATGGTCAGATTGCGTCAACCCCTCAAATACCAACAATTCGTGCAGGGACAGGGCCTTAACAAGCATGGGGCGGCATGTATCATAAAATAATATACAATAGGCATTGCAATTGTATATAGAATTCGTGCGAGATAACGCGCAAATTCTCTTCATAAAACTTTTAACTCGTAGAAGTTATAACGTTAACTAGAAATATCTACGTTAATTAATAACAATATAGAATATACGCTCGATTGATACATCGTTTGATACAAAAATGTTGCCTAGCTTAATTACGTAATAAAGAGCAGGATAACACTTCAAATGTGTTATTTATTAAGAAATAAGTAGGTGCGGGGATCCCCTTAAGTATGCATATAATTACTATTCAACACACTATTGAAATGAAATTATATATTCCGCTATAAAAGATATCCCATCCGTTTTTTGTTATCTCTTATGGGCGGAATACGGTGTATTAGATTTCAAGATAAAAATTACACGTTCCTCGCCCTAATGTCATTAAATTTAAACGCAATTATTTTAAGGCAAGTTGTGGTCATCAGTTGCATCATATTTCATCTTGACTCGCAATAAAGAGTTCAATACACTTTAATATTTTAACGTAAGAAAAACATGAGGCTTTTTTGTACGATGTGCTTGGATATGACAGATTGAAGAGTGCGGCGTCAGCTGCTTCGAAGGCTTTTTTGTATATGTTATTTTTAGATATAGTTAAGTTTGAATGTTTGATTATCATGATGTTGTGACTGTATTTTGTGTCAATAAATGTGTTCTTTTAGTTTCTTGATAAAATAATAACTGTAAATTTTTAGGCTTTAAATTTAGTTTTTCGGCCAAGAAACAAATAGATAACATTGTGAATAGATTAAATAGAGCGGGCGTAATTCTACGTCTATATCTCATCTTCGTTATTATAAAGGCTAGTTAAAGTTTAAATTTTTGTTTGTCTCAATCAATGAATCGAAGCGAAGAAAAAATTTGGAGGTTATCTTTACCAGCTAAACCACGAAGCTAATGTGTTTGCTAATAATATTTTTGATATGTTCGGATGCGACGAAACCGGCCCAGCCTCATTCTATAACGGTTAGGAAAACGACTTCATCATCCATCATCGTATTCTAGACGCAGAAGGTCTTAAGTCTATAAAACTGCTAAATAAAGCAAGGTAAAAAGCCAAGCAAAGAATTAGTTAAACCAATTAATTTTTTAAAATCTTGGTGAAATGTCAGAAATGTCAAATATAACATTCTAAATTTAACATAAATTAAAAATTAATCCGCTACGCAAGAACTTAAACAAGTTTGTTACATATGATTTATGCATTTTGCGTCAAAAACAATTCACAAGACTGTAATTTTCCATTTCAACGAAAACCACAAAATAATTTTCTTCATAAGCGGAAAAATCGTTTTGTTGCGGTATATATCTTCATTCTTACTAACGTTATAGAATAGTAACAATACATTTTCGTATGGGAAATTTGAGCAGCACTTTGTGGGCGTTTTGGATTAAACCGAACACGATTATAAATCCTTTGAATAGAATAAATACGTGCAGTAAATATTGAATGAAAATGCCTTTGAGCTGTCAAAATTATCGCATACAAAAGCTAGACAAAATTATCGTAAAGTTATTTCAGTCTTTGAAGAGGAAGAGCAGTTTAACAAGTACAATGATATAACATTATTAGACTGTCTTTGAGGCGTCGTTCTGCTTCGTCGCACATCGCTGATCTTGTATATTATAAGTACTTTATTCCCAGGAACTTTGTATTACAAAATCCTATACCACGGTTGTCCGGGAGGAAATTAAATAGAATCTTTTCGAAGGAGTAGTTACAATTAAATTAATCGATTACCGAGGGACATTTGATTTAAAACCCACGACATTATTTGATTAAAGTATATTGTTTAAAATAATTATTACATCAACAAAATATAATAGACGACTTGATGTGACAGAAACTTCTATATGAGGCCTTTTCTTAGGAATTTTCAACATTTTAAGTCAATTATCATTATGTAAATTGACATTTAGTCAGATATTGACATTGACTTACGCTTTTTATATTTTTGTTAGTAACATCTTTTATTTATTTAAATGTACCTTTGCCAATGTATATGTTATTGTAATCAGAGATTAATTCGTTGTTATAGTATGGGCTATGACATGGTTATGTCGATGAAAACATAGTATATATTTAATATTCTGTAAGTCTCCAATTCGTTTGTGTCTGTTTCACTACAACTATATTCAGTTACGGTTTTTAATCACTTCCCAACCTCCTCCTATCGCAGCCTCCTTCAAGTTATTTCTAAAAAACATATTGTTTGTGACTATACGTTTAAACATAACTTTAATTAACTCTACAGGTTAAACGGAAATAAGTATTTAACTATATCATGCTGAATATTTTCAGACAATGTTGAAAATTGGGGGCGGTGCGGTGCTGCTGGCGGCCATCGTGGCCGTGTTCGTGGTGGCCACTCAGGGCCGCGACCCAGACCTTGAGGCTTCCGAACAGGAAGGGAGAGAGTACATCATACATCTGGACAAGATGGCCGGCCTCAGGAAGAACCGTGCGGCGCTCGCGGAATGGGCCTACACATCTAATATTACTAAGGAGAACGAAGAGAAACGTGTATGTCTATAGTAAACGTGTGTATGCTTTAGCAGGGTTACTCTGTAAAAGCGACAATTATTTCCAATTAGTGTCTCAGGGAGCGTTCAAGTATTACGTAACGAATTTTGGGGGGCGGGTCCTTTTGTACAACGCTACGATGCGGGGCGGGGATTGAATTAAGCCGTTATTGTCAATATTATTTTCGACTTTACACAACATAATGGTAACTTTTAGGTATAAAGAGTCACTAGGTGGTCACGAAACGTTTTTCTATACTTGGGTACAGAAAAACGTTACGGCGCGTTAAATAGAGGGGGGGGTCAATAACCTCCAAAAATTGTGTGACGTAATACTTGAACGGTCCCTCAATTGGAATTGGCATTATATCAAAGTTTACATTTTAATAATTATGACATTATCTAATACCGGAACCTAAAATATTAGTGATATTGCAAGCTTTAAATTAAGTAGTACGGAAAATAAATATTGATTTCGATGGCTATAAAAATTCGGGTCTTATCCTGCTGACATACTCTGGCCCTTAAGTAACCTTGTTTGGATGAAATCTCTTGTGATGATCATTTATTAACAATGACGTTTGAAGGGGCTACGCAATTTAATGACGTATTTGCCAAAGCCTTATATACCTATACTTTTCTAATAATTACACAGAAGTTTTATCATATAGCATATAGTAAAACGTTGCATTTTAAAATATTTTTGAGTTAAAAAGACTAGTCTATACTGTTGATAAAAGGTCATCCTTAGATACTAGATACTTCTAGTTATTTGAATTATCCGATTCTTCTTCTTTCCGACATCTGATTTATTCCAAAAACCTCATAATATTTGCCTATTAAAAAACCGTTTTAGTCTATATTACCACGAGAAGTGATGCGGGAGATAGCTAGTATAGTAAATTATATCCACTTTATTTTCTCATCATATAAACTTTTAAAAGCTTACATTGCAATCCAGTCTATATTAAGAATGGACTTTTTATGACCGCATCTTGTCGTTTAAAACTAGTTGGTATAAAATTAATTAAAATTGCAGATACAAGTTCAATTGGAAATATCACAACAAGAAAAACTGGCTTGGGAAGAAACTAAGATGTACAGATGGCAAGATTTCCAAGATTTCTCCTTACGTCGAATGTTCAAAAAGTATAGTCAACTTGGCGTAGCCGCGTTACCAAATGATAAATATAAGCAGCTGATGTTCTCTATATCAGGAATGGAGTCGAACTATGCCACGGCCAAGATCTGCGCGTATAAGAATGAAACAAAATGCGATCTATCTTTAGAACCTGGTAAGGTACTTTATGAGTTTATTACGTTTAAGCTTACGATTAAACTTCCTGAGCCATAATTAAGACCTCTTGGAATTGTAATAGCGTCAGTTTTGCTTTGTCTTTACGTCTATTTTGCAATGCACGAACATTTAAAGTAAACTTGTATCAGTCTCGCTACGATGATCATTGCTCCCTTAGCTTCTTCTTAGATAGATTTACAAACGCATTTAAATGTGATGACATGAAATCGAATTTGGTATCGGCTCACAATTTTCGATTGTACCGTGGTTATATTTTTCGACGCGCAAATTGGTGATGAGTCTTAAGTTCGGCTATTCGTTGTTCTTTACCTTTTAATGAAACGCGTACTAATTGATGCAACTTATTCCAGATCTAACTGAAATCTTTGCAAAGAGTCAAGACCCCGAAGAATTAAAATACTACTGGGTTGAATGGCACAAGGCAGCTGGCGCACGAGCGCGTCAAAACTTCACCGAGTACGTGCAGTTGGACAACGAAGCAGCTAAACTAAATAGTAAGATTTTGTTTTACTCTAGATTAGATTTTATTTTATGTCTATGTCTGAAGGCAGAAGGCTGACCACCTACTTGTCTATAATAAAAAAAAATCACTTACGAAACAGATTCAGAAATAAGAGTCTTCAGAAATAAGAGTCCCAGGTCTTAAAAAATTGTAGCACCACGGTTTGTTGTTGTACTCTTTACCATTTTACCTCCAAAACATAATATGTATATCTATATTCAAGATTTTGATGACGTCGCTGAATGGTGGCAATCTGAATACGAAGTACCAGACTTTGAACAGCAACTAGCCAAAATATGGGAAAACGTTAAACCACTGTACCAACAGTTACACGCCTATGTAAGGAAACGGTTGAGAGACAAGTATGGTGAAGAAGTTGTATCAGCAAGAGGTCCTATACCCGCTCATCTTTTAGGTAAGTCTTTATCAAATCTTTGACGAATCCTATATTCACTGACCGTACAAAATAAAAAATTGATATATGTAATTGTAAAAAAAATAAGATTAATGTTTCTTTAGCAATCAGCTTTATAGTCAGATTGTTTTCTTAAATAGGCCAGTATTTTTGACCACTCTATCCCGGGCTAGCTTGCTCCATCTCTTCGGCATCCATCTGATCATGTTTTTACTTGAAGTTCCCTTTTGCCTTCACTTGGTTACTAATATAATGATTTTTTGTGCATTACTTTTTAGTAATTCTTATACTTCCGGTCCTATTTTTTATATTTTTTAATTACTACGTTAATTCTACATCTCTTAACCCAAAAATAATAAGAACTCAAAGAGAAGGTGTTCTCAAGGATTTTTTGTTACTAGAGACTAAGGTTTATTACAAAATTAATAAGTCCATTTAGCTATCTCGATTAATAGATTTCCAAAACAAAAACAATTTATCGATTCGATTCAGTAGTTCCAAAAAACAGTGGAATAAAAAAACAATATTGTTGATTGAAATAAACAAGTGATATTTATGAAAATTATCGACGTGCATGTCTTCATACAGCTGATTGCGTTTTGTAAAATTTGACCTGAAATTCTTCTCTTCTCAGGTAACATGTGGGCGCAAACGTGGAATAATATTGAGTCGTTTACTCGGCCATACCCTGATAAAAAAGAGGTTGACATAACACAAGCCATGCAAGACCAGAACTACACAGCGTTAAAGATGTTCCGGATGTCCGATGAGTTCTTCAGATCCTTAAACCTTACTGCGATGCCCGAGAAATTCTGGAAAAACTCAATAATTGAAAAGCCAACTGATAGAGAAATTGTATGCCATGCGTCTGCTTGGGACTTCTATGATGGAGAAGATTTCAGGTATATTGATGAAATATACGTATGGGCTAGTATATTTTGATTTGAACGCTTTTTTAATACATTGATCTGTATCGATATGTAATAATATAACTACATTTTCTTCTATCCTTATAAATTAAGAGCATTAGTGGTTATATGCTGAAACGGAAAGTATTATATCTGTATCTGTTATTGTGCAACAGTAGTTTAATTATAAAAATAAAGTTATGTAGAAATTATTACGCCAAGTACCGTTGATATGTCAAACGGAAGAGACTAGCTACGACACATGAATCCTAGTTTGGGGGCTAAATTACTTTCTCTTTTAACTAAACATCCTTTTTTATTATGTGTAATAAAGTTATTTCTTTACTTTTTCCTTTACGTAGTAGTCGCGTTCAAAATGATTCATGAATAAATGCAACATAATCCGTGCAAGAAGTCGACTTTAGGCAAACTTCAAATTTTGCATTCACGTTCGGCCAACACAATAGAATTTCCTCATTGGAAATCAATAGCAACGAAAAGCATATTAATATTAACTTCATGCAAGATATTTGCTTGGTTTTATATCTACGGTGGTGGTGATTTTAATGTTTTCAAAATTTTTCCCGTAACATGTCTGGCTTTTAAAGGATCAAACAGTGTTCGACAATTGACTATGAGTATTTCCAAACAACACACCACGAAATGGGACACGTACAGTACTTCCTACAATATAAAGATCAAATGGTCGTTTTCCGAGACGGAGCAAACCCAGGTAATTTTAATTTATTTTGACAGGATCAAAATGTGTACAGTCGTGAGCAAAGAGTATTTTAAAACCGTTCACCACGAAATGGGCCATGTACAATATTACTTGCAATACAAGGACATTCCGGGTGTGTTCAGGGCAGGTGCTAATCCAGGTGAAGTTGACGAGTAACTAATATTTCAAGAAATTATATGTCATAGTTATGCTATTACTATGAATAGAGTAGGTATCATCATTAAATAAAAACAAAAACATCTGTTTTAAGCAGAATCATCCAGAGTTCATGTTAATCAAAATCAAAGAACAACAATATATGCATATATATAATACAACAATATAACATAAAATTGCAAATCGTGATTATATCATAGAAATTGAATAACATATCATCCGTTATAGGTTTCCACGAGGCGGTTGGGGACACAATTGCGTTATCTGTTTCATCACCCAAGCATTTACGTCGAGTTGGTTTAACCAGCGGTGATGCAGAAGATGAACAAACTGAAATCAATCAACTGTATAAAATGGTAGGTAAAACGAATATATTTTACCGCATCTTATCATAATTCTATACTAATGTTTTAAAGAGGAAATATACATAATAATATAAATAAGATACAATACAAATTACACTAAACCGATTTCAAAAATTCTACCATCTTTTGAATGCTACATTATGCCAGGGTAGTGAATATGCCGTATAAAAAATAATGATTTTTATTCTCTCTATGACACTTTATTTTTTAATATTTCGTTAATAAAAGGCTATATTTATTTATATATTAACACTTCGTTGCAGAAACAATAATACAATTGAAATCATTAAATGAAAAGGAGGGCAACTGGCGATTTATTTACAATATTTTAAAAAAGTATAATAGAATTAAAATACATGTTTTGTTTAGTACATTAACCACACCATATCTACTTTCTATTTTTAAAAGACATAAAAAACCACGTGCGTAGTCTACATCGCAATATACATTAACTTGTTATCAAGTAATTAAAATACATAGTATTACTAGCTGACCCGGCAATTGTTGTTTTGCCATGTATATTATTTATAGGAAACATGTTTTTAGTTCAATAAAAATAACTATCTAAAATAGGGGTTGATCGTAGAGAGGTGAAAATTAGGGTTTTTATTGGGATGGACACCTCTTATCACTTAGGGGTTTAAAAGATAGATAGTAGCCGATTCTTAGACTTACTGAAGATGCATAAAAAAATTCATAAGAATCGGTTGAGCCGTTTCGTAGGAGTATGGGAACGAACATTGTGACACGAGAATTTTATATATTTGATGAGACTACCTGGTTCCAAACATAATATACTAATAATTGACTCTTTTATAATAATAATAATAATTTATTTGCAATAATTTGGTACAAAAATGTGATGGTGGTACAATCTAAGGTTCGCATATTCAGCCACATAATACAATTAGTCTTAAAAGGAATTTTACATAGAAGTTACAGGAGTTAAGTTGTAGTCATACGATTATAGTAAATTCTTATATTATTTTATCACTACATCATCCCAATTCCCATCATTAAAATAAACTATTACGGTATCAAATTAATTAAAATGTTTACGCAAATAATCATTAATAGAATAATACATATTTTCCAAAAGTAGTACATTAAGTCGATTTTTTAAAACCGTAGTAGGAAGATTTTTTAATGTTTTTGGTAAATTATTATAAACCATGATCACACAAAAGGTGTTTTTCCTATACAATTCCAGGGTATTGACAAAATAGTTTTCCTACCGTTTGCATACACATTGGACCTCTTTCGATACGGTGTGTTCCGCGGTGCCACCACTCCGGATGACTACAACTGCCATTATTGGAGGCTAAGGGAGGAACTGCAAGGTGTAGAGCCTCCTGTTACCAGGACAGAAGATGACTTTGATGCTGCTGCCAAATACCATGTATCTGCGGATGTGGAATATGCCAGGTGACCTACAATTTCCTATATAATAAACATATTATTTTAATAAATATGTATACATTTAAATTGATATCTGTGTCATAGATATATCAATGATATCTATGTCATAGGCATTTAAACCATATCTAAAACCTATTGGCATACGAATGGCTAGCTATGAATTCTTCTATCACTCATGGATAAGTTTTTGCGTTAAAAAAAATTTCCGTTAAATACAAATCAACGGCCAAAGTTTCGTGTCCCAGATTCTCACGCTGGACTTATCGTTGCAAAATTAGTCAGATAAAAAGTTGTACACAGATACCATATACTAGCATTAATAAATAAATATCTTTGTTTTAGATACTATGTATCATTCATCGTGCAGTTCCAGTTCCACCGTGCTTTATGTCAAATCGCCGGTGAATACGTTCCAGAAGATTTAACAAAGAAACTTGTCGATTGTGACATTTACCAAAGTGTTGCCGCTGGGAATGCATTATCGTAAGTCAAATAAACGTAAAGTTGTAATCGCCTCCGTATCGCTTCTTCGCTAAGCAGATACCGTCATAAGATTATTCTTATTGTATTTAAAAAAATATATTGGAATGGATCAGGGGTGGAACTTCGTATATTATATGTTCCTAAAATAATGTCGACAAGCTGTACATTTAGCTCACTCAGGCTTTCTTAGTTTTATAAGCGTGGCGATTTCCTAAATCGTCGGAGTTGCGCCCTGAGCCAGACGCAGGCACTCTCTTCAACTGTTACATTGCATTCATTCGTTACATAGCAATGGACATTTCATTATTTCGCTTATATTCTATTGTTGTACGCGAGTGTATAATCTAGAGTAAAACTAAATCCTCTATTATTTAAAGCACCCATATGATCCAGGATGACACACGATAAAAATATATATAATTTATATAAAATATATTCAATTAATTTACTACAATCCGTTACTTAATTATCAACAATACTTTCATGTACCAGAAACATGCTGAAAATGGGATCATCCCGTCCATGGCCAGATGCGATGGAGGCTTTGACAGGTCAACGCGCGATGCGAGCTGACGGACTATTGGAGTACTTCCGGCCATTACACGATTGGCTGCAGGCTGAAAACCAACGGACTGGAGAGTACATCGGATGGGAGTCTAGTAAAATACGTGAGTTCTCTTTATCTCTAATCAAATTATATTAAGTAAAAATGTTGTATATAAAACTTGTCCTGTTTAATGTTTTTCATATATTTTAAATACCTTACAAATACAATATATAATACAACATGAGATATTGATGATATTAGAGAACACTCAAGAAAAATTTCTTGTGGTTCATATTTTTTCCAATATTTATTTATTCGATACATCTACACTTCAATATAGCTTTTTAAGGCATTATGGTTAAGTGAACGTGTTCCTAATAGATATTTAATGGGTTTCAGAATATTGTAGTGAAGAGCAGAGAGCAGCTTTTAAAACAAAGGAGACGAAAACAGAATCTGCGCCGGAGTCGTGACGAACCCACTACTTGATGTACTTAAATTAGGTTAAATTATTTTAGGATGTCAGTATTGATATTATACGGTTTTAAGTATAAATACAGCTTTTTTTTCTTACTAATCCATTGGTTGTTTTAAGAGATGTGGCTAATAAAAACTAATATTATAAATATTTGAAGTCTTCGACTTTTTTTAAATATTTTTGTTTTAGTTTTAGTTTTAATTGTGCCCAGATGATGTTCTATATTTAAAGCATTATTATTCAGCCTTTTTTTTAATATGGTGGCATGCGCCATGCCCTGTGCCATTTTAAGTCATGGGCTATTTCTGCATGTAGCTGAGATGTTAAAATTAGAAAAGCACATCCAAAATAAAAAATAATAATGTTAAAACTATAATAAAGCCAAATGATTACCAATATGGTAAGAGGATTTGAAGAAGTTTTTTAGATTTTTTTATAATATAGTTGTTTACCAAGGCGAGAGTGATTAAAATAAAGTTCGTCACTTGAGTTTAAAATAGTGTTGCTTCCGAAGTACAGACTATCTTTTATTACCTCTATAAGAAAATAAATACTACGTAATAACACGGACACGGAAGGGAATGCTTAGGTGGTTTGGTAGAACGGATGAATGAAATTGAGAAGCGATTAACAAGTAGGATATATAAGGCACGTGGATGGCGAAGTTGGGTTGGGTAGGCCCTATGATACCAAATCCAGGAAATACTAGAGAAGGGACAAGTTTAAAGTACCCATAACCGCCGAGCATGCATGGTGAATGTCATGAAAGTGGATGAAGCGAGAGCGGTAGGACAGGTCGTAAATATAAGAAAAGAAGTGAATACAACTCATAAAGTATATTAATTTATTCATTATCATTAGACAGACATCACTACTAAGTATTATCTTGCCCGGTCTACGCTCTTGACTTGCAAAGTGGTAGTAAATGTAAATGTAAATTTAGAATCAATTTAACTTTTCTGTTGACGTTCAAAAGTGTACTTGGGTGTATGAATAAAGTTATTTTGAGCTTGAGTTTTAGTAAAAAATTTGTCAAATAAAAATAAACAAATGAAATCGTTTAACGCGGTTAATTTTGACAGCCACATTTTAATTAAATGTTCGTTTCGACCTCTTTGGTGATAGTTACAATATACATTCCAATTTTTCCTATTCCAATTTAATCCATTCCACTTTTAACTCCTAGTAATTAAAACAACTGACATGTAATCTACTAGCTCTTTTATTTGTGTCATGAAAATGACTTCAATCTGTAACTTTATCAATATTAAACTATGGTATATAAAGCTTCAATTAAAAATCTACTTTATATAAAAACAAAGACTTCGATATCTCGTTATTGAGACAGAACAAGAATATGTAAATACGTTTGCAACTATGGTCAGGATACTTGTAATTAACTTACTAGACAGGTTTTATACCCGAGGTTGACAATAAATATGACATTGTACTGAAATAAGGATAATTCGCGTGAGAAGTGATGTAGTTAGGAATTAACCAGCCAAGTCGCAATTACTATCTTTGCTCAGAATTTTTTGTACTTACGTATATAAGGATTGTCCATTCGGCCCTCATAACCCATCAGAATTAGACAATAAATTACAAATCTAATTATAATTCCCTTTCCGTGAATCGAAACACTCTAGACGTCACAATAAATTTAGGAAACCGCTTAGCAACATGGTTAAGTGGTTTAGGCGTGTGACTCTCATCCCTGTTATCGTAGGTTCCCCGGCTGTGCAATAATAAAGTTTCTATGTACGCATTTAACACTTGCAGGTGTGGTGAAGAAAAAACATCGTGAGGAATGCCTTAGACCCAAAGAATTCAACGGCATGTGTTAGGCACAGAAGGCTGATCGCCTACTTGTCTATTAAATAAAAATCAAATCAGAAATCAGCAAAATACAGAAATCTGAGACTCTTGTAAAGTTGTAGCGCCATTGCTTTTTTTAGCAACACGGCTACTACAAAAACTATGATGAATTATTTTTATTCTTAATAATAATATAAGCACAACACTATTTCGTGCATTAACACAGGATAAAGAGAACAAGACATTATCTTTCGATAACTAAGATCTGTTTATTGATTCTTGCTCAGATATACTTAAGATTCAGGCGTATCAACATCGGTAAGTGTAAAAACAGATAATAATAATATAGCTAAAGATAAGTAGGTGACATTGTACTAAGAAATAAGGATAATTCGCGTTTGAAGTGATGTGGTTAGGAATTCACCAGCCGATACGCAATTACTTTGCTCTGAAATTTTTCTGTTCTTACTTACCTATATAAGAGGATAGTCCATTCGGTCCAGAGGATAACCCATCAGAATAAGACAATAAATTGAGTATATTATATACATTGCTATATTCAAAGGTTAGGTATAACATTTTATTAATAAAATTGTTAAGTTTTAAGCTGTTTATTCTTTACTAGGGTTAATAGTAAGTTTATAGTGGTTGCGCCACGTAATGTCTTCGTATCTACATTAGGTATTTGGTTTGACACACGGGCTCCTTACCTTTACTATTGCCATCCCTTTCCGTCACATACAACTATTCGCGCGTAAAGGTGATGGAATGATTTAAAGAATCCTGCACAAGGAGTAAACTTGTCAGGAGAGAAGTCGTGTAGCGCTCGACGTGGTAACGTCAAGGTGTCGTCGTTTAGCGTTTGGCGTAGTAACGTCAACAGACGTGTAACGCTCGCCGTGGTAACACGTGACCAGTTGCTGTGTAACACGCGAGTTGTGAAAATCTCCTCGTCGTATATGACACACCAGGAGTCGCCGCGCAACAGTTGCTGTGTATATATGTATGTATAGTCTAAGCATATTCGCAGTAAAGCAAACGTCGTATTACACGCTGTATTTTCAATAATTGCATTGGATCGGTCCACGGAGAAAGAAACACCTGCAGGACATCATCTCTTTAAGCCAGAAGCGCAGCATATGAGGTATGTAAAATCCTTCCCGCTCTTACTGTTTTTCTTTCAATATTATTCCATTGCAGTGAGAACTCCCTTCTACCGTGTGTCAAATACTTAACGCCTCGCATACAGTCCACTCTTTCGCTTCAGTCATACCGTGCTAGACAATTATAATAATTCCTCTCACATTACGCCATAGCGGCGCATATTTTTAAATGGTGAATTGTGTCGCTATTACTAACCGTAACCATTATCTCAATGCTTATATTTCAAATTCTTCGATCTAGAGATTTGGTTGATCCGCCACACCAATTAGGTCTAAAACAATTAAGAAATGTTTCATAGATTCGTACTTCGTTTGTTTGTTTTGAAAATGCATCTTTTGGTTATAATATTTACCAAAACTGTTAACGATTAACGATTTCATGCAATACATCACAACTACAGGGGCGAATAATAATTAGCGTCACTATAATTGCGTCTAAAATTAATCGATTCTTTATCAAGCATTGCTGTTTAATTAAATTGGCAGTTGCCAGCCCCGACCTCAATCGGTTGGACATTTTTTTGTCACATTTCAATAACAGACCGCGCGCAAAGCCGATCATTGGCTTTTGCATATTCTTCGCCATACTGGCACCCTTTTGGACCCTGAATTACTTCGCATTGCCATCAGCCTCCGCTTAGGTGTGCCCATATGTAATCCCCATAAGTGTCCCTGTGGCTCTGAAGTACTTGGACACCATGGCCTACTTTGCCAAAAGAGTGCAGGTCGTTTTTCCCGCCATGCCGCGCTCAACGACATTATACGCCGCTCTCTTGCCTCCGTCAATGTTCCAGCAATTTTGGAGCCAACAGCAACGCAAGAGAAGATGGCAAGCGGCCGGATGGGATGTCGTTCATCCCATGGAAAATGGGACGTGCTTTAGTATGGGATGCTACTTGTGTTGACACGTTTGCCCCGTCTCACCTCCTTCGGACAAGCAAAAAAGCTGGGGCGGCCGCAAAGCAGCCAGAAAATAATAAAAGGCACGAATACTTCATAACTTAATAAATCTCTACTCCAACTTCCATTTTGTTCCCTTTGGAATAGAGACTCTTGGGCCGTGGGGTTCAAGTGCACAGGTGCTTATTAAAGATTTAAGTTGGCGCCTGGTAGATAGTACCGGTGACCCCAGAGCTGGTGCATTCCTAGCTCAACGACTAAGTATCGCAATACATCGAGGAAATTCTGCCAGCCTTAAAGGTACACTGCCGCAGGGACCAAACTTTTTAAATTTGTTTTGATTTTCTTTTTAATTTTTAATTATTTTTATGATTACTTTGTAGGTTAAGAAAATTGTAAATACCGTATACTTGTAGACATAATTAAATCTATCTATCTCTTAATCAACAGTTTTTACTTAAAGAAAAAACTGTTTGACCGGATTGAAGTTATGTATTATTATAAATTTACAACTATTTAACATAATTTTAAATTTATCCGACGTTTCGCGTGCTTTACAGCGTGCGTGGTCACGGTGGTGGCGAGTTTTTTACTTCAAAAACAATCTTATTTGGCAGTTTGCCTTGGAAATTAATTTAAAGATTTGTCCGTTCGCTATAACGTCATTTTCATTAGTTTCGGCTCCGAAATACTAACAAAAGGTTTCAAAACTCGAAGCATGACAAACAGGACAACACACTAATTCATTTGCATATATACAAATGCCTACAGATATCAGTTTATGTCTTGAAATGGTTGTGGTTGTATTGCAAAAATGCCCTGTGGATATTGTTCGCAAACTGCAAGAAAGGTTCTACTTGTAAGTTATCAAAACCATAATTTAAAATATTAAAACGTGGAATATTATTATTGGTATAGATAAAATGTCAGAATGCAAACTATAATCCATATACCGATAAATATAATCTTGATATAAGATGATTTCTGTCAGTAAAGATATACTTTAGCCCTTGTTAAATCTTTTAACTCGATATTACCAAATATTTAATATATTTTTAATTATTTTGTATTTCCCTACTTTTATTTTTACTCAAAAAGATTGCCAGCTCCAATTCAGACAAACAGGTATTTCACTGCCTTATAAGTTTTTTTTAAATACATTGTCTCTTCACTGAGACAACATGAAACATAACTATCTAGCTTATCTTAAGGCTAGTAGTTTAAGTCTAACCTAATTTTCTAATAAAGATATTTAACATAAAAAAGTGACCAATAATATTCACAGTCTCTATTAACGGGAAGACACTCTGATCTAGTATTTTTTTACTTACTACTGTTTAGCACTTCACACTAACGTGCACTAGCTTGTTAAGTAATCTGGCATTAATTTCGTGCTAAGTATCTTTACATACTTAATCTACCATTAGCGATACGGTGACACTAAACTAAACACTAAAGTGTTCGTCAGCTTTCTGTATCTGCTTCGTATCAACTGAACATGATGGTATTTTTTTTCTAAGCAAGTGCAACTCTAGCAAGTGGGTTTGTGGCATGCAGCTTTTCTTTAAACAAGCAAATGTTAAATGCGCACAAAACAGTCCATTACTGTACAGCCGGGGTTCGAACGTACGACCTGAACATTCAGGGTAATATTATGTCTTAGCGCTAGGCCTCAACTCAGAATGAGAGTATGAAAATTGTCTGAAACAGCGACTTCACAAGTCTAGGCGTTTCAAATACTTACGGTACTTACCTTTATTGTGCTTTCTGATCTTATACCTTCTTAAGATATGGATCTCTAGATTTCAATTTAATATGATTACAAAAAGTATATGCAGATAGATTTTGATCAGTAATCTTAAAGATACCTTGACATAGATTGGAGTTTTTTACGGTTGGAGGATCACTTATAAGGTAAACAAAATAATGGTTTGAATCAAATCAGTTTGAGCGTTGGGTAAATTCAAATAATTTATGACAAACTTCACAATTTTAAAACCATCATCGCATATGTAAGTGACTGGAATAATAAATGTCCATTTTTCAAATCTTCTGTGCGTGTGTTTATAATAAAACTCCTCTAGCGAGCGATCTGGATATAAATATTTGTGTGTTAAGTGAATTCGAGAATGGTTTAAATTTAAATATAGTGTGTATAAAAAAAAAACCTCTTTCAGGTCCGATAGTACATAATACATATTATTGAATTGTGTAGAACGCCTTATACTCGTAAGACCTTATTGTTAAAGGTGCACTACAATACCGTGTTACCATTTAATAAGGAAGAAACATGTTTAGACTTTTATATTTACTATTTTATGACAGATGATGTTCAAAATCATCGTGGAGCTAGCCCTCGTGGGGGCGATCGCCTCGGTGTTCGTCGTCGCAGCCCAAGGCCGTGCTCAAGAAAGGGCCGCTGAGGAAGCATCAGGGCGGGAATATATGAGATCCCTCGACGAAGTCATGGGAAAGGCAAAAAATCGCCTATCATTAGCCTCGTGGGCTTATGATTCCAATATAACGCAATATAATGAGGATAAATTCGTAAGTGTAAACTGTATGTTATTTTGGCCCTCAGAGTTCCTGATTTATTTTGCACCAAAACAATAATTAGCTCTATTTATTAAGTACGAAAATTGTCAATAAAATAAATAACGACGTTTTTATTCTGAAGCTTGAATTGTCTTTACATCGTCCAATTCTATGCATTAAGTCTCGACTCTGAGCACTCGACTGATACTATACATTTTATTATTTTCATCCTTTCTTGCAGTTACAAGTTTCGTTAGAAATCGCCGAAGAAGAAAAAGAATATTGGAAGGAAACTATGACCTACGCGTGGCACGAGTTCTATGACGACGATTTGAAGCGTATGTTTAAAAAGTATTCTGTTTTGGGTACTTCAGCATTGCCAGAAGATCTGAACCAGAGGCTCATTCAATCAATTAGTAACATGAAGTCAACATACGCAAAAGCAACTATCTGTGATTTTAAAGACCAGTCCAAATGTGATTTGACTATTGAGCCAGGTATTTTGTTCTTATAAAATAAAAAAGCTTTTTTTAACGTTCATGTAATATTACCGTATTCGGTATTTGTCTTACAAATTTATGTATTGTCTTGATTAAAACTCGTAATTAGTTTGTTCAATTTCTCGTTATTAATCAATACACTATTTATTCATTTGTAATTATAGTTTTCGGACATTATATATTTTGATAATTAATTTTGTAAGCTCAAATAAAATTCAAACTATATTATTAGTAGGTATATTATATATTGTTATAAGTAGGATTTATCAAATAAAAACAATTGATTATTTTGTATACTTGGCGCGAAAATTTTAAAATTTGACGACAAGAACTAATGACAAAAAAAATGTATTTGTTAATTGACGTTAAACGTCGGGATACTATTTAGATATACTATTATTATTATTATTAGAGCCTGGGTATACTAACTCACAATTAACACATACATATTAAAGTAACTATTTTTTTCAGGGGTAACTGATATATTTAGTAGCAGCGAAAACGCTGAAGAGCTAAAGCATGCTTGGTTGGAGTGGCATAAAGCAGCTGGGGCTGCATCTAAATCGAACTTCACGGAATATGTCAACATGTACAATGAAGCAGCGAAATTAAATGGTATTTGTCATAATTTACAATAATAATTTTAATACATACATTAATAGTGAAACTGCGTCTGTAGCTCAATTTATCATCTTAATACATTTAGTTTATATTATGCAAATCGGGATGCAAATTTATTCAATTTTTACAAAAAAAAATTACCTTTACATATTACTAAGATCAAATGCAAAGTAGTGTTTGTCTTTGGTGAGTTATAAATATAGCAACGACTCATCTTCGATACTAAAATATATAGTTTTTTCAAAAACTGAAAGCTCGCTATCTCACTCTGATAGTTTTACATTCCAGGTTTTGACAACGTCGCTCAATGGTGGCTCAGCGAGTACGAAACCGATGATATCGAGGAACAGTTGGCCAATCTATGGACGCAGGTCAAGCCGCTGTATCAGCAGATCCACGCATACGTTAGAAGGCATCTGCGACTCAAATATGGGGAAGATGTTGTGTCTGCTAAGGGCCCTATTCCAGCTCATCTTCTAGGTAAACATATAACCAATAATTTGTGCTCCAGTCGAGGTATGAAAAAGAAGAGACGAATCGAAGTCGCGTCCGGTTCGATTGTGATTGATTAAGGATATCTTCTATATTCTAAAATACAAGACAATTACGGTGAACATAATGTTTATAATAAAAGTAACAAACTTAAAATTTTTACCTATTGCTATAAGGTGCTTAAAACTGGTTTTTGGATCTATTCAATAATTGATTTGTGTTATATAGAAATCATAAAGTAAAGTATAGTTAACATGTCAAAAGGTTGGAGTGGCTGCCCACAACACAGGGAATCCTAGTATGGGAGCTAGTGTACTTTATTTTACCTAAATATCATGTTATTGTGTATAATGAAGTTTTTCAATCCAATGAAATGGAAATTCCGTTTGACCAGTCATATTCAAAATGTCGTGTCGAATTTCATTTTACCTACATTACATAACATACATATAGAGATATCTACCTCGCATACGCTTTTGAGTTTTAAATATTAAATGCAAACAATTATAAGAGTACCTTAGTTTCAGCTTCGAATATTTCGCTCAAAGTTTTATTTTTCTAGGAAACATCTGGGCTCAAACATGGGGTGGAGTTGAAAAATTCACAAAACCATTTCCAGATAAGCCAGACGTTGATGTAACTCACGCGTTTGTTAAGCAGGTATTTCTGACATATAAATATATTTATAGATAGTAAATAGATGTTTAATAATATTAGATTACTCGGAATATTTAGAAATGAGGTTTACTCTCATCTCAGGCTCGTCTCAAGAAGTAATATGCACTTTTATCTGGAGTGTTGTTTAGATTTTTTTTGATACAAAAATAGATAACTCATTTATTTAAATAATCGTCGATCTTCCTAAGAAAATAACCTTTATATAAACGCATGTGATAATTTTTCAATTATGCTTGTGTTTACATAAGTTATTGTAAGAACACTATAGAATAGTATTCAATCGCAAATAAAACTAAAATACAGTTTTAAACATCAACATGTAATATTAATAGGAAAATTTAAAATAGTATATCATAATAACAAGTGGAAATGGAATAATAAATGTAATTAATTACCTTTTCAGAACTACACACCATTAAAGTTCTTCGAAATGTCTGAAGACTTTTTCAAATCACTCAATTTAAGCGGAATGCCCGAGTTGTTTTGGGAGCGGTCAATCATTGAGAAACCAAAAGATGGTCGAAACCTTGTATGCCACGCCTCAGCTTGGGACTTCTTTGATGGACAAGATTTCAGGCAAGTCCAAAATTAAGAATACCTATAACCCTTTAGGTCTGAGCCTTAGATTTTTGTATCTGGTCCGCAATCGCTTCTAATAGGCAAGCAGGTGATCAATCTTCTGTGTCTGACACACACCGTGGAATTTTATACTCCAGCTTACTCAAATGTGTTCATGAGCGAGTGTTAAATGCGTACTTAGACAAAGTTCTTTCTTGGTCAGCCGGGGATCGAACCAACGACCTCCGGGATGAGAGTCGCACGCTGAAACCACTAGGCCAACATTGCTCTAATATTAAGAGAAAATGATTACCTACATAGTCAAAGATTTAATGAGTATACTTATAGATCTAATCGAAAGCTCTACTAAAGCTCTTTTCACAGCTTTCGTCTTCCAAAATCGTTAAATACTTTGTTCTTTTAAGTACTATTATAAGTTAATATCACATTACAGTTAACATAATGGCAGACTCTTAGAGTCCTTAACTTTTATTAGAAAATAAATAAGGAAGAACTAAATTACAGATTCATTTATTATTAGTTTACGTGTTGCATTAATTAATAGATTTTAATTAATAATTTATTAAATTACAAAGTTTTTGTTGCCGTTATACTGTTGGACCATTCGTAAATGTTTGTTATTTAATGATTATTTTAGGATCAAGCAATGCACATCAATCACTAAAGCTTTCTTTACGACGACTCACCACGAAATGGGACACATACAGTATTACTTACAATACAAAGACCAACCAATCATTTATCGAGCAGGAGCTAACCCAGGTGTGTTATTATTTATCAGAAATCAGAATGAATACATTTAACACGTGTGACTTACATTGTTTTTAAAGGCATGCTTTTGAAATTAGGCAGTCGTAAACAGTTTGTTAGTAAGTTTTATTAGTATTTATTATTATACAAGTTTCACCTATCTGTGCCTGGCATAATTAATTTCGCATATAAATAAAATTGTTCGTGTCCGTTCTTAGATAACTGGGCTAAAGTTTATACAATATAATAAAAATATAATACTCGTTTTAAGGTTTTCACGAGGCAGTTGGTGACGTCATTTCCCTATCAGTATCAACTCCAAAACATCTAAAATTAGTTGGTTTGCTCGAAGATGGACCAGATGACAACGAATCTAACATCAATCAATTATATAAAATGGTAATTATTACAATTCCATTAATATCCATTACTTTAGATTGAAATAACATACATATTTTATAAAAGAATCTAAGTGTACGACATCAAATTGCAGATGCATAATATTATGAACCAACGTATTCATAGTTTTTCATACAAAATCTGATATGCACTTTAACGCAATAACATTAATCGTCTTACAAAACTCATCAGCGTGTTGCCATGCAAAAGTAAAAAATTAAATATGGTAAATTATAATAAATAATATAAAATTAAATTGTATACACATTTGTTTATATTTTAAATTAACTTGATGTTATTTTTATGGGTTTATTCTGGTTAATATCTTTATACGAGCTTTGTAGCTTGTAAATATTTCTTATTAAACTATATTATAGACATATTTTAGATGATCTTCATAGACGTAGAAGGTGTAGTAGATTAGGCATTTAGCGGCCGATTTATTCAATCAAACCGTGTTTTTGGCTTTATATTTCACTATACAAGTGTTTTTTTTGTATTTTCACCATTTTGTCAAAGTATTAAAGTGTTACCAATCTCCTGGATTTCATTATTTTACGCAGATGCGGAATGTTATACTTGTTGTTTACAAGTCTTAGTTTCTTATTTAAAAAATCAAATTCCAGGGTTTAGATAAAATTGTGTTCCTACCGTTCGCTTATCTCTTGGACCTGTACCGCTACGGAGTATTTCGCGGCACAACTTCACCAGAGGAATATAATTGTCACTTCTGGCAACTGAGGGAGTCCATCCAGGGAATAGAGCCTCCAGCACCGAGGAGTGAAAACGACTTCGATCCTGCCGCGAAGTACCACGTCTCCGCTGATGTCGAATATATGCGGTAACTGGTTAAATATTAAATAATCTTGGTAATTAAATGCAAAACATTGTTCCATTTATAAAGATTGATGTCTAATTATCTATATAAATTAAAATGAATCGCAAAATATGTTGATAAGAGCAAAACTCGAAGACGGCTGGATAAACACGAGTATTCCTCCGAGAAAGGTTTTTATGGAGAGAAAAATTGTATGGAAAAAACCTAAAAACCCGTTTTTATTCGGGAAAGCAGTCTCTTTGGGGTATCATAGCAGAATGTTCCATTTACTGGTATGAAGCTACTAAAAAGGTAGGCTACGTACAAAACATATTAAGGCGAAACGAAGTTTGCGGGGGCCCCTAACGATAAATAAAACGGAAAATTTAAGGGTTGCTGTGTTGTGTCAGGGTGGTTTGAATGTTAATGAGATGTCTTATAAGGTAGATTCTGTAATAATGTATTTTTAATTATATTATTAATTGATATTAGTCGGCCTGGTGGATTCAGCGTGCGACTCTCATCCCTAAGGTCGTAGGTTCGATCCCCGGCTGTGCACCAATGGACTTTATTTCTATGTGCGCATTTAACATTCGCTCGAGGGAAACATCGTGAGGAAACCGACATGTCTTAGACCCAACAAATAGCCGGCGGCGTGTGTCAGGCACAAGAGGCTGATCACGTACTTGCCTATTAGATTGAAAAATGATCATGAAAAAGATTCACAAATCTGAGGCCCAGACCTAAAAGGTTATAGTCCAACTGATTTATTTTATTAATATATTTTACGTTACCTACATTAAACTACTAGAAATAATGCTTTGTATAATTTTGAATTAAAACTTCTTTAGGCGCGACTAGAGAGTAACTCAGATTTTTTTTCTTACGGAAGTAACGCTTACTTGTGTAGTTAGCTAGTCTGTGTATTTAAAATAATAATTCGGATTAGTCGTAAGTATATGTCATATAACCTATAATTTCATACGTAAGAAATTATGATGACATTCAATTACCTGTTTCGAATGAATAATATTAATGTAACATTTTAATAATCTTTGTAAAGCACATGAATAATAAATATAATTAAATTATAATACGATATTTTTTAAGTTAATATTTAATCATTTCAGTGATAGTATGCCGTCAACGCCAAAGAAGTTTTACTTCAATCGCGCGTAAAGGTTACACGCACACACTTGTTTAATAGGTTAGCTAACTGCCTCCGTGCTGATTAAAGGATCGGGGTTTTGGATTCATTGCCCAGTGAAACAATATAAATTATCGTCACTAGGCCCAAGTTTGTGTGCTTTAAAAATATCTCGGCACAACTAATGACCATAAACATTGATGAACAAATTATCATTTAAATATTGTTTATTTAATTAATTTGCAGCTACTACATCTCGTACATAATACAGTTTCAATTCCATCGCTCTCTATGTCAGTTGGCTGGACAATACTCTCCAGGTGATTCCAGCAAACTCCTCTCCAACTGCGACATATACAAAAGTACTGCGGCTGGTAACGCTTTGAAGTATGTCAAATTGTCTTAATATTTAGAATTAGTAATAGTAGTATTCCCAACCAATGCACAATTGCACAATTACTCATAAAAGTCTCAAATGTTTTTTGCTAAATATTATTACAGACAAATTTTTTTATACACAAAAGGAATGTCTAAAAAAGTGCTTAAATTGCCACAAATTTTCACTGTTTTTTTATGTAATAGTAAGCTCACCTGATGTTAAGTGATACCGCCGCCCATGGACAGTCACATTGCCAGAAGGCTCGCAGGTGCATTGCCGTCCTTTTAAGAATTGGTACGCTCATTTCTTACCCCTAAGTCGAATTGGTTCGGAAATACTCCAGTGGGTATCTAACGCTCAGTATAGCATACGTAAATTTAGTATACTAAAGGATAATTTTTGATAGGGACATGCTGAAACTCGGCTCCTCTCGACCATGGCCTGATGCAATGGAGGCTCTAACGGGTCAGCGAAACATGGACGCGAGCGGAGTCATGGAATACTTCCAGCCTCTTCATGACTGGCTGAAGGCGGAGAATGAAAGGACCGGGGAACACATTGGTTGGGAACCTAGTACTGTTCGTAAGTATCATAATAATAATACGGCTGGAGTGGACTCAATTCCGTACGGCTCTTGTAACTATGGTTACCATTATATGGAAATAACACCATACATGGAAATAACACCGTAACCATGGTAACAGACTTAGAGGTGTGCTGCTTGCATAAAGTACCGTCTTCATAAACCGTCTTTTCACTAAATAGTAGAGTGCCCGGAGCATTCAAAACCGTAAAACCTCGGGTAAACATTGCAATTTATAGTTTAAAAAACAATATCCCACATCGATCATATTAATTCATTCACTGTAACTCTAATCCGAGGCAAAAACCCCCAGGCGCTATACTAAAAGATTCGTGTTGATTTTACTGAATAATATAGTTTGGTAAAACTGCCGCATCTTCATTATTTATTTTGATCGATTTTTTATTGTGAGGTTATGATGTGTATTACAAAAATTCAGAAAACATATATAAACTGAACTTCAAATGCTCCGAAATTGAATAGAAATATATGTACGTAGACTTTTATTTCATATTAAAAATAAGTCCAGCAAGTACATAGTATAAGTATCCCATAATGTACATATTTTACGAAAATTATTATTTTTTTAAATTCCAGAATATTGTGATCCAGAACAAAGAAACTACATGGACCAAGGAAGGCTTGCTAAAGTAAACTATTTAAAAAAGGATCCATTGAAATAGGACGTTGGCAAAGTGTAATACAATAAAGTTACAAGATTTATTTTATGTTTTCATTTAGTTTTCTCCATTCCTAAGCAAATTTATGTTCAAAAATTTTAGGAAAGTAGCTAAGTAGTACCTAAACCTATTGGAAATATCACAATTGTCTGTCTCTATTTCACTTCCTCCTCTAGTTACTTACTCCACAAACATTCCCTTGTTTTTTTTATTTAATTTCCCTTTTATGTAAAATAAATTTACCATAAAAATATTAAGACACTAAAAATACCTACGAAATTTTCTGGCTAACGAAAACTTTTTCCAAAACTTGTATTATATCCGTTCATTATATAATGTTCGTTGTTGAATCGTAATGATGACATAACAATCGTTCTAAATCAATTCTAAATTTCGATTTCAATGGCGGGAAGTCGCACAATAAAGCGTTACGGATGCAGCCGTGACCTAGCAAATAAAAAACTGGAAAACTGAACTAAAATATAGCCTACAACAATATAATATAAATCTAAAAATTTAGCGATTCAAAGGGGGAACGCTGCCAGTATCTTCGGAAACTTGCCTAAAGAGACTTGAGATGCCTTTTAATAATATATTTTAGTTTATGTTAAGGTTAGTTTTTTTTTAAATGTAAGTATGTTATTTTAGTTATATTTCTGATCAATCTAAAATAAGAGCCGAAAATTGCAAGGGTTAGTTACGTTAGTTAGGGAGTTAAAAGGTATTTTTTTGGTTAATCTGGGAGGTGATACAGTATTTAAAAACGTTTCTTTTCTCTGTTTGTTTAATATTTTCGTTTTTGTATTAATTGGACTCTTTAGTTTGTAGGAAATTTAAAGGGAACTTGTACTGTTGTGTAGTTCTTCAGGCCTTGGCCAGTTAGTGGGTTTTTGGTGTTTTTCTACTCATAGTTTATTTATAATTAAACAATAATAACAATTAAATAAAAGTAACTATCAAGGAAGAAAGATACGAACGCATATATTGGCTATGTTTGAAGCAATTTACATAAAAAATATTTTTAGTTTCATCTCAAACAAAGAAATATCATTAGCAGTAAACAAGAAGTATACCGCCATACTTTTTGTCGATAGCCAAAACCGCAATTCTCATAAGGAAGTAGATATAATAAAACTCGACAAAATTATGTTTTTCAGCATTTGCTTGATTATCTACGCTAAATAATATAAATTTAAGAAAAAAATATTATGTACGTAAGTTGAGTGATACCATAAATATTAAGATTAAAGCTACACATCAATTGGTCGTATATAATGTTGGCAAAATGTTCCATAACATAGTAAGATAATTATCTAATCCCCTTTTATGCGTCTGCATCTGATTGATCACTTTTAAACGCTTTCAAAACAACCGAAATATATGTGTATTTTTCTATATCTTCAAACAGCTCTTTCATCCGTGGACCGATCTGGATGATCGAGGTGTATTTTACTCCCAAAAAAATTTAGAATCTTCATACATTTCATTTGAATAAACTTAGTATACTGTATGCATATCTCATACAAGGGCAAAGAAAATATTGTTATTTAACACTTTTCTGTGCATTTTGTACTCAGTTATTCTTTTTGTGAAAAGGAACTTATATCTGTCTTTTAGTAACGATACACTTTTCCTTTAATCCGTTAATCTTGTCCATCATCATACTATATATCAAATTAAAAAATAATAGTAAAAATATTATTTTTATGATACTCAAGATATCCAAGACTGCGATCATTCATATCAAACTTAGACAGCGCTCAAGATGAGTTTGTGATTGAGATACGAATTAGAATAAGGATCTCAGTCTAACACCCAACCTTGTACATATTTAGTACGTCCTATAGTATTTATTCTGATAATAAAAACTCTACAATGATATCTCAAATAAATGTAGTTAATACTACGCCGCGTGTCAATAAAATCACCTCTATTCATTATGCGCACGAGTAGCCACGACTTGTAGCTGCAATGGTTATCTCAAGGTAAGCAATAAACAAATCACAGTGACGAATGATGGTGTTTTGTGATCTTTTTTATTCTACGTGCTTAAAGATTTTCTAAAAATTATTCTTCCATCATGATTTACACGCTAAGTGTATAATTAGTTTATTAATTTGTTAACACTTTTAAGTGTATATGTTACTGTAAAAGCTCGAACTGCAGTAAATCCTAAGATATTCCAGTAAAACCTAAGATCTACCAATTCCTAATGGTAAATGTCCAAAAAGGTTTGCGATTCGAACTCTTACCACCATTCCGTTGGTAAATCTTAGGATTTACATTAATGGCACGGTAAATGTTGAAAAACAAAAAAATGCACCTGCAGATCATCAGGATTACCTTGTAATTCTAAGTGCCACTATAGCAATCCGTGTGGTAACAAGTGAAATATTTTTTTTAGGTACCTTATGTAGGTGAGATATTCAGAGATAAACGTTATGTGTTTTTTTCAAAATAATTTAAGTAAGTTGGTATTAGTTTGTACTTATTACTATCATATGATACCTTTATAATACTATGTACCGGTTTTGTCTAATAGTTCATTAAACTAAATAATTAAGAATTACACATTGTTTTATTCCTAAAACCAACATCTACCAGCTGACAGTGGTAAAACCTAGCATATACTGAATTCGAATGGTAAAAGCTCGAAAAAATCGTCGTATTTTCAGAAATTCTTACATTTACCAACTCATGTCAGTAAATCCTAAGACTTACACTTAAATCTTAAGATTAACCATAGTTCGAGCTTTTACAGTAACATATACACAAACAGAAAAAATACACGTAGAATCGTGAATCTCCTTCGGGTTCATTGTCAGTCACACCATTTTTCAATTTCAATTCGACATTTATGACAATTTTTATTTTTTTTATACTTAGATAAAACTACTCCTAGAATTCAATGTTAAATATGTTATATGTATGTAGTTAGTAATTTATATTTATTCTTATAATTTTGTTGAGGATAGTGCAAAATTTTTGACATGTCCGATCGCGACGTTTAAATTCACTTTCTCTCTCTTGCTTTGTTGTATCGTTCGTTAGAGTTCCTTGCAGTTATTGTTTCTATATTTAATTGATTTTATTAATTACCCTCAATGTATTTTTATCTGAGGGGTTTGTGCGAGCTGTGCTGTGATATTGTTATGTTTGCACTGAATATACCTATATTCATTCCTACGACTTGTTGACTTGAATTGTGTGTCATTTTTCTAAGGACATATCGAGGTATGTATTAAAGTTAATTGTTTAAAGGAATTGGTTATAAACGGCCTACGACCCGTTATTTGTGGTACTTTACCGAATACTTGCATTAATACAATAAATACTCGTACTCACAAATTCAAAGAAAGTTAGAAATAACCATATATTATTTACGTTCTGAATCCAATTTCTAACAAACAATAGTAAGCACAACTCGAACAGTAAAAAAGGTTATTATCGTATTTTGTATGCGTCGTATAACTACGCCTTTAATGATATACTTGAATGTAGAATTATCATACTACATGGCTGTTCTCACGGTAACTAGGACAAAAGGAAAATTGCCTACCGATGTCAAGATGTTACGCACCTTATGGGATTTTTTACGTTTTGTTTGACTTTGAAAATAACGTAAAAGATTTAACTAATCTCATGGAACTACTTTCATAATACACTAAAACAATACAAAGAAAAATATTTTTAATATAATCAATATAAGATAGTATTGTATATGCTGTGGGCGTTATTAAGAAATTTGTATGTTGTCTAAGTACTAATATCATAATAATCAATGGGCTCTTTTGTGCCTAACGACTTTTTTGGTTCTAAGGCATGCCGGTTTCCTCAAGATGTGTTACTTCACAGTACAAGCGAGTGTTAAATGCGCACTTAGACAGTACATCGGTGTACAGTCGGCGTCCGAACCTACGACCTCATGGAAGAGAGTCTTACCCTACTAGGCCAACACTGTTCTTATACTAGTATCATAAACCAAACATTATTTGACCCAGTCAAGTTACAAGATCTACCTTAGGACACAGATTGATATGTTAAATCGTATTTAGGCTTCATCTCGAAAAAGCTTGGTTAGATATAACTTAAACTCAATCTCAAAATATATTCATATAGGTAAAGAAGTTAAATTAATTGCGTATTTAAGGGCGTAGAGCGGGTAATAGCTTTCTGTCACTCTTTTTAATCGCTAAGTATTGATATTCACATACTTATACCACTTCCCCAACTAATCTTCCAACCCCTGGTACCTAATTATGACCTAAACCCTCCAAACATCTTCATCTTCCACCAAACAACACAAAGTTAACGAGAGAAGGTCACCATCTTTATATAGTAACTTACAACGTCGGACCTTTCGTCATACAAAGAATATTGAAATGGAGAAAGCCTGAAGGGTAAAGTCACTAATAGGTATTTCGGAATCCACCCTTGAAATTTAATAGATGAATATGAAAAATTCATTCTCTCTTTACTACAAACCCCTTATGGAGTGCTTCATAACAAACGTTTAAAAGAATATATAGAAAGCTATATTGAATTTCGGAACGTTTGCTCTACTAACTTAACTACCAGTAAAATTTGACTTATACAATCTACCCCCCAAACTATAAGAGGAAATAGACAGTTTTTATAAAACTATATATACTGCCATGGAAATGGCACACGAAGAATTTATTCTAATGGGAGATTTTAACGCCAAAATAACACCCAAATACAACACACATAATGAGGAACTACGATACGGAGTAAGAAACAATAGAGGGCAACTTTAGACTTTGCGATGGAAAATAAACTACTTTATAAACACCTTCTACAAGAAAAAAGCCAAAAGAAGATGGACATCCTCTCCGCCGGTCAATATAAAAACGAAATTGACTATATACTGTCAAATCACCCAAAATTGTTTCAAAATATAGAAGTTCTGAACCTAAACTACCATCAGACCACCGTCCTCTAAGGTGTAAAATTAGGCTAACAACCCAAGAAAAATAGGACCAACTTTACAAATAATAAAACAAGTCAACTTAGAAACAAGGATGAAATAACAAAGTACAAAGAAAACCTATCAAGCTTTCTCTTGGAGCCATCAGGTCAACCCATCACCTTAGAACAAAACGGTACAGACCTCCTACGTAAAAATAAAGACGGCCTCCACAAAGTTTGATCCTTCGACTAATCAGAAGATATAAAACTAAATTTACAAGACCTACTCTAAAATTATTAAAAAGGACAGCTCCACAAATAAACCCTTAAAAATGAACTCTCCCACTGTCAAACTGGTTAATAGATATATCAAGAGAGACTATCAAAATATAGGCAAGAAATAATAGAGAAACACCTTACTTCCGCACTCAAGAGAGCATATGACTCACAACCAATCCTATAAAGGACTAAACCCTTATAAAACCTTACATCGAATGGATATTTGAATACAGCAACTATTTCTACAAAAACTTTACAGAGACCCACTCTAAACAAAACTGTGACTCCCTCTTCCAATTCACAAAACCATATAAACTAATAAAAGCTAAATTCAAAAAGTCCCATTAATTCCAAATGATCCTAAAATATGTTAAATTTTAGAACCATTAACTGAATTTTAATTCTATACTTCTAAGTTCTAAACCCCATAGAATGGTCTGAACAGATATCGTTCTTATATATAAAAAGCTCAAATTCCTCACCATAGTTTTTCCTTTACAAACTTTTCGCATCCATTATAAATAATAGACTAAGCCCGATATAGAGGCAAAACAATCTTAGAACAGGCAGGTTTCAGAAAAGGGTACTCTCTCACCCATACACACCATAGAGTTAGTTATGAGAATTAAATTTAAACCTCTTTCATACTTTTGTTGATTATCAAAAAGCTTTTATTCAGTCATCACAAAGTATATGGGAAACTTAAAAGAAAAGAGGTCCAGATAAATACATAAAGTGATTAAAAGCTATACAATAACAACAAAGGAAGAATAAAGCTGAAACTTTAGGCCCCCCTTCCATATAGAAAGAGGGGTAAGACAGACCCCTTCCCTTTTTCATACAATACTCGACATCATGAACAAATTAGATTGAGTAAAACAGGACTCTTTAAAAGCACCTACCTAATCACCTGAGGTTCGCTACACCTATCCTTCTTCAGACAGTCAACGAGATGCAATTCATGATAGAATCTCTACAACAGTGAGTCGGAAGTTGGTTTGGAGATGAATCTAACAAACAAAATATGAGTATACACAAAAAACCTATAACTATCAATGGTAACCCTTTAGAGTATGTAGAAAATTATACTTACCTGGGAAAAAGAATAAGTTTCGAGGAAAACAGTAACATTATAGAAATAGAGAGAAGGGTCCAACAAACCTAATAAATATTGAGCCTAAAAGAAATATTTAAGAGTAACCTCCATACTCTCAAACTAAAGTTATGAACTCATGTCTACTACCCACTTAACTTATGAAGCCAACCTGAAATTCTCTACACAAGCTTGAATAAAATCAATGTATGTCAAAGAGGTTTGAGCGAAGCATTTGATATAGAGAATGGACAAAATAAGACATACAAAGATAAGAGCCGTCACTAAAGTTACAAACGCTTTAACTTTTGCCCGAAAACTGAAATGGAATTGGGCTGGCCATGTGGCAAGAATGTCTAGCAGAAAGTGGACCAAACGAGTTACCCAATGGAAAGGACCACCAGGCAAGAGGCGGAAGGGGAGACCCTTAGACCGCTGGGAAGATGATCTGAAAAGATCAGCTGGCAAAAACTGGCACTCCATAGCACAGGACCGACAACAATGGGCATCTTTGGAGGAGGCCTTTACCCAAACCGGGGTTCCTGTTAAATAAATCCTATAAATATATATTACTAACATAATTTAAGCTAACCTACTAACAAATCAATATTTTTGGTAACTTTAATATAACAACTACCAACTTTTGTAAAACAGGAAATAAAAAAGGCTTTATTATTATTATTTATATTATTATTATTATTATTGAGTCATACAAATTATTTGAACTGGAGCAAATCAATCCCAAGGATGAGGATCATTTAAGTTTTCGTCAAATTTATAAAAAGCTTTATTGATTAATTTACGTTTAACGAGGGCTTTGAATTTATTTAGTGATAATCCTCTAATTTCCCTTGGGAGTATATTCTCCCATCACTAAATTGAATAATTATAAACACTACCTTTATAAGTTCAACAATAAAAAGAAACTCGCGCTTCTTCTATATGAATAATGGTAACCATGGCAACTATCAGGATCTCTTAAGTACACGTAATAAGGTCGACGAAGTTTTGTTAGCAATGTAAAGACACTCCAATATAATCTCTTGAGATAAGAGAACTTTCATTTTCTTATCTTCCTTGCGCTAAAAGCTATACTTATGACTTATAACTTATGCCTTATAGGGCCTAGCAAGTAAAATTATAAGTTATTTAATACGTACAAAATTATCTTTTGGACAGTGTCACATCAATTATAATTACGCTTGTTTTATTTGCGTTTCTATTATGGCATTTGATCTTGACCCGTTATATAAATGGGATGTCTTTTACAATCAAACCCAGAGGGGGTTATAATATCTAAATCAGTCTCAACTATACTCTATCTAAATCGCCTCTTTCTGTCTTTGTTTCCTTTATGATGAAAACGGACAGATGAGTACAGTGGCGTAACAATAGGGTGGCAGGGCTGGCAAAATTCCACGGGCCCCCGACCCAAGAGGGCCCCTGCCCAAGAGATGTTCTATGCATGAATGTGAAGTCTCCAATACGCATTGGGCAAGCGTGGGGACTACAGACCATTCCATCTCGCTTGAGAGAGGAGGCCTATGGCCATTTGTGGGACATACAACGTGTAATTGAGTACGCTGAAAATCTTGAAGTTTATTAAAGTTAAGCTGTGTAGGGACAAGTTTTACTGATAGGGCCACAATTGCCACGAAAGCGATTTTCCACGGATCCCAGATGGTATAGTTACACCACTGAATGAGTAATAGTATTATGAAAAAATAATGCTCCCTTAGTCATAAAGATGAGTTATGTAAGGTATTAAGTCAAATTCTTAAAGTATGTTACTAATTGTAAAACGATGTAGGGATATACATCTTACAAAATTCTCGTTACATTCATTTATTTTTAAAGTGTGCTCTTTGGAAAGCACTATTAGTGTAAGGTGGGTCACTTATGTAATGTTCATTAGCTAATCGTCAGTTTAAGGGTTTTTCAAAGTTTTCCATAAATATATATATATTTAAAAAATGTATTGTTTTTAATATGAACAAAAGTAAACTTACACTTTTAAGTGTGTAACCTGTGAAGTGCATTACGTCACATAATACCAGGAGTATTATATATATGTATATATGTGTAAAGAGTAGCCTAGAGTTACGACGTTCGACTTTCAACCCTCGGTCGAGCACTTATGCCATGGATTTTTATAGTTAGCCAGATACAAGCCCTAAAAGTAATGAAAAAAAAATATTGCGCTACAACCTCTTTTGGTCTGGGCCCCAGATTTCTGAATCTGTTTCATGGTCATTACAAATGTAAATGGCAAGTAGGTGATCAGCCTCCAGTGCCTGACACACGCCGTCGACTTTTTGGGTCTAAGACGTGTTGGTTTCCTCACGATGTTTTCCTTCACCGTTCGTGCTAATGTTAAATGCGCACATAGACAGAAAGTCCATTGGTGCACAGCCGGGGCTCAAACCTACGACCTCAGGGATAACAGTCGCACGCTGAAGCCACTAGGCCTACACTGCTCTCCTAAAAGTAATGATCTTTATCAAAAACACAACAATATGTGTCCCCCATGCCCTATTATGGGATAACGAGAATTCATATAAACATTAGATTCGCCCGTCCAAATTATTTTATATAAATTATTTATAAATCACTCTTTAAAAATGGTTTAGTGCACCATATTTTTTCTATATTTGTATCGATAATGATTATTTCGAATTAACAACCAACTTCCAAGAACTGCGAATTACTACCTACCTATACAAGGTCTAACTTCGTACTTGGTCAGACGTACAGAACAAAGCTAATTCACACGGCCTGAGTACCCAGCGTCAACCAACAGTTGTCGTCGCGAACGCAACCAGCAACCACGCATCACTAACCAACGTGATAACAGGGAATATTTAGTCTGATAAGGTTGCAAATAGCCTGAAATGGCTTGTGTTCAAACAAGAAAGATTTTAAGCCTTTGGCTAAGATTAGCCATTTTTCCAGTTGTTGCTTTTGCTGATCCACAATTGGACTTACCGCCTTTATCCAGTACCCAGAGGAATCCCTACGGTTTCGGAATATCCAGCACGCAGTCTAACATAGGGAGTAACTTTGACAGAAATAGGAACTTTCAATTCAGTACTGCTCGGCCTCAAAGCGCAACGGGATATCCGTCCACCACTTTAAGCGGGATCACTCCTGTGATAAGTAATAATGGATATCCTAGCGTGAACTATGGTAGCGGTCCAAGCTCAACTCTTCGGCCATTTGACGATAGAAATAGGGACGACCGCATAGATATCAACAGTGATCCCAACTTCCGTCGGAATGATCCTAGTTTCGTGCGTAACGATCCCAATTTCGTTGGGACAAATCCTTTTGACATTAACAGGGATCTCAACACAAATGGCATAGACAATAGAATAAACCAAGTGAGTCTTCATCAAATCAAAGACTTCTTGAAGCAAGCTGATGAACAGGCCTCTAAGGAGTGCACGAACAATGTTGCGGCGCAGTGGAATTTTGAGACTGATGTCAATGATGCAACTCAACATGCTGCAGTAAGTACTATTATTCTAATTTATTTGGTAAATTTTAATGATATATTACTCTTTACTATTCATTAATTTGTGTAACGTTATATTATGGATTTCATTGTACCAAACATTTTTTTTTTATTATTTTAGTTTCGTTCCAACCTTTGTATATACATTTGCTACCTCATAGTTAAGTGAAATATTACCATACAGTCCATTGTAGAGGATCGACCATTCGGTCAAGTCCTCTCAACGCACCAGGGACGGAACACAAATATATTATATACTAATTAGTAATTTGTGCTCCGACCGGGAATCAAACCCGAATACCCCAAGGGCCAAGGTCCCTTTGTCACACCGCCTACGAATCCTTCTAGATTTTAATTCTAAAGATTGTTTGTTAAAGTTTTATAATTTTAAATCAAGGATAAATTCACGAAGAGTAAACGCAAATTACAGTCGGTAATTCAGATAGTTATCAGATAAACAATGAATGTACGAATTATCGTAAAAATAACTGAACTCGTGAGAAATCATACCTTTTGACATTTAAATATATTTAGTTTTTGCTCATGGTTTTATTTGATAACAAATCTTCATAGAATGAAATAATTTTTATATTTTTTAAATTCTTTATTGTGCTAATAAAATAAATAAACGTCGCCGTTAATGATATTTTAATAAAAATTGAAAAAATTAATAAATAATTGTCTAAATGCCATATATAACTTGTTAGATCCAGACTAGAACTTGCAACTTGCAATCTAAATCAATATAATGTATTTTTTCAAAGTGAAGGAAAAATGTAAGATATAGAGATATGTAACGAAGACGTAACATTAATGAGTAACAATCACAATATGCTCTATTGTCTGATGTGAAAATAATTTTCCACTAATTAATGCAAGTACCCGGAACAATGATTATCGATATGAAATCTAAATGAATTTCCCCACTAACCCTTTTTAGCTAGATTAGTTCAAATCCCACTACTAGCCCTCGAATTTTGATCCCACAGTCCCATAAAATTTATTTGTTGGATCAAAAACAATTTAATTAGTTTTAAAACTGCTTTCTATGGATTATTGAGTAATATATTTTTGTAGTACAATAATTACCCCTCAAATTGAAATCGTCCTCCCACAGGTTATTGAATTCAGTCAAAATAGTCGTTTAATTTTCAAGATAAAACACGTGGTTATGCTAAAGAAAAAAACAAAATCAGTGTACCTAAGTTTTTTTGTTATATCTAAAAAAAGTTAAACTTACATAAAATAAATTCATCAAAAAACTCTTGTATTTACAGGACAAAGTTTTGAACAAAATTTAATTAATCTTCACAGAGTTTCTTACATGCTTAGGTCTAACACCGGAAGTAGGCATGATAAATGAACAAAATAATTATTTAAAATATACAATTAGAATCTTTTGTGTCTTCATACTTAAGTTTTCACAGCCTTTAGTAACCTTTGTTTTACTTGATATTATTATTTGACTCGCAGCAAAATATCAATCAATCAAATATATTCTGCGTATTGCTCATTCATTCAGTGCTATGCTAGTTAAGTCAAAGCTGAGGTCAGATACGTGAAACAATTATCATATACGACGATCTGATTTACTGGTTCCCATGAATGATCTAATATGTGATCAATATATCCCTTGCTATATAATTATTTATGACTAAGTAAATAATAAATAAGTATATATTTAAAGTTAATTCTCACAATCATAAAACTAGAGTTTTCTAAAAAACGCAACGACTTAGAATGATGATTCAAATCATTATATCAAATTACGTATTTAAAAATATATAATAAAATTAAGACAAATATGTTGCGATGTTAAAAAGTGAACATATAATTTTTTATAAATAAATTTTACATATACTTTGAATCTTATAGTTTAAATTATATAAAATATACAGGGTTATAAACTTTTATAATTATTAAATATTTAAATAAATTGAAAATCTTTTAGTTCTTTGAAATGTAATATGATTTGCTACTATTAATTAAATAGACCAAGGACTTGATTGAGGAAAGTCAATATATATAAAGAAAACAATTTTGTAAGAAATTAAGTGAATATTTAATAAGCAAAATATCCGAAATCAGTTTTTGTAGTATCGAAATATGAAGAAAATGTAATGTTTTTCTGTAAACGAAATTTTAACATTAGTTTTACCATTATTGTCTACGACAACAATAGATAATAATGACAGGATGTTCTGATACTAATCAATACGTCTCGTTACGTAACAAAACCTTAAAAGTCCGTAAAAGTTTGAAATAGCACAATTTATACATGAGAAAATTAAAATACATAGAATTGGTACTCAGAGTCATTAAATTATCACATTTGTTAAGCTATTTAGTAAAAATATAATATAGGTATTTTATTGCCCTATGATTTAAAATGGAGAGATCTTTTACCGGAGTATTTGGAACTTAACGGAAGCACGAACACGAACGTCGTTCTGTTTTTATCAATCATTCCAATAAAGCCATCTTAATTTCATTCTAATAACCACAAAATGTATTACATACTTAGTCTAGACTAGTATATATTAATTTGAGTTTTTGGGTAAATATCTTACACTTTCCATTAGCATAATTTATTAGCTTCTTTCACGGGTGACTTTGGCGGTCCTTCTTCGGTCTGTATATCTTGCAAAATGTCCTGCCAGTTTCCATTCGCCATGGTCGCTTCATATTTTGTGATAATTGGCGATTCTTCATTATTCGATTGAGTGTTCTACCAGACTATTATTCTAAACTTTGAAGAATATTTTATGGTCATAGTAAACTTGTTAGACTGAGTCAGGTTAAATAATTGTAGTAAGTTACTAAGGGGAATGTCATTTTTTGTCGCGTAGAAACTAGAAACACAAAGGGTACAATGGACCTGACGATAAAATACATATTTTCGTGATTTTGCCTTGGTACATTTCTCACGGTCATGACAGTGAGGTTAGGATTTTTTGCTTTACATAACTAGGTATTTGTTTTGTCTAGGCACTTGAGGCTAAGTAAATATTTTCAAAGTTTTATATCAATCTGAAAATTACATTCCTGAAAATTTAATTACGTTGGCCTTTAAGTTGTGAGATTCTATTTTAAATATTTTTGTAAGTCAAAGAAAATGAGATCTAGTAGCGTGCGCCTCTTTTACCGGTTGTGTGTTCGAATCACGGCTGTGAACTTATGCACAATTGACACTCACTAGTACGTGAAAGGAAAACATCGTGAGGAAAGCGGCATGTAGATAGACCCTAAACTCGACGGCGTGGGTTGGTTGATCATACTTACCTACCTATTAAGAAAAAATAATTAGGAAATAGATACACAAATTTTAGGCCAAAACAGACATAGTGCTATATTTTAAATAATTTAAATACGTTTATTAAAAAACGCTTAACTAAACGCGAATTTATTTACTTTACTTTGAGTGCTTTCAGCAAATGCTACATCAAGTTGACATATACTAATTTTATAAATAAAGCCCTGAAGCTAATAAAACAATATGGCCATGAAATTATACATAAAAGCAAAGAATTGTGTATAATACTTTGTTTTACAGGCATTTCACACTGCCTACTCTATTTATCTATACGCTAATTGACGAATGTTCACGTTCCTGACCTTACCTTGCCAGAATAGATAACCCTTAAATCTATTGAGTTAAAGTTGAGATTCACATTAAAACTTGTAAACGAGTTGCATAAAGAAAGAACTGTGCTGAAAGGTTTTGGTTAACATCTCAATTTTTACGCTACGTAAACTTGAACTCATTATGAATGAGCAAGTTGGTCGTGTACTTTAGTAACTTTGACCTCATTTTTTTATTATTGTAACATTTAACGTATTTTATTGGGTATTTAGTCCAGTGTTGATTATCTCGACAATACACACAATTAATTTTATTTATCTTTATCAAAAACAATTTTTTTTTGCGCGTTAGGGAAAAATTATGCGCACGCACACCGTCACAAAAAACCGACACCCTAAAGTTAGCTATAGTCAGCATTTTAGTTTTTTCTATTGTTAGTGTCGTTTTTTCTACAAATTTTTGAAAAGATTTTTATCTTGTAAAGTATAACTTCTAACGCGTGTCCAGAAGTACACACACGTTTTTATTTTTACTGAGATCGAGATCGTTGATTGAACAGCCTATAAATTAACGTACGTAATTCATATCCATAATATGCAAAAGCAAATGTCATACGGATTTTGAACTTCGTGCTGACTGAAATTCACGAGTGAATTCGATAATTTACATTTCAAAATACGAGGAAGTCCTTTATCCACCTAGTTATATACAGTTTGACATTTGGCGTTCCAGCAAACGATTACGTATTGATAGTGACGCGATGTTTTTTGCTACCAACAAAAACAATTAAATTCATAATATTTTATGCATTTCGAAATTGCTTTTAGAAGATATATGATAGATTCACATTTCTAGAAACATATCTCATCTACTTCTACCATCCTAATCGTTTGGTGCTACAAAGTTCAACATCGTGCCTAAGATGGATGTGTGGAACCCTTCCACACCAAACCCTTAACGGTCGTAGTTATTGATATATATATGTTTTATTCATCATATTTCTTCTCTAAAATTAGTATACAAACAGTATTGTATGCCTGATTTAAATCTAAAATTCAGTTTTCTCGCGATATTTTCCATCGCCGTGCTGAGGTCGGGTGGGGCTTCAAGAATCTAACTAACACAGGCTAACACAGCTCGCGTGGGATTACATTATATATTTTTTGTATCAATATAATCGCAGGAAATTCTTTTAAGCACTTAAGTCCAGCGTGTGTATTTTTCCTAATTTGTTAGTTCGTCACGTTATGCTTGCGAAATCGACACTGTGCGAACGTCCTCCAACACAATAGAGCCACGATGGTGTGTGAAATAATAGTCTTTGTGCCTCGTCATTGAAAAATCTCAATTACCTATGTTAGATAATTTATTGAGGAAGTCTTTTAACAATTCACGATATGTTGACAGAAGCTGTGGTTTAAATACGATGATCGCCGGCCACAGTAGACAATAAAAAAGTGAGATTGCCTTTATGTATCCTGCGCATTCAAAAAAGCATTCTTAGGGTTATGGTGATTAGCGTTCCTCTTAATATGGACTACCGAACACAAACAAAAATTTTACTCAACCCAGAAGTTTCGACCAAGTTCTGCCGAACAAACATACTTCAGCTGTATTTTAATAGTACTTGGAGATAAAACAGTTTAAATAGTTAAACATTGATATAGTTAAGGTACATACAAACATAAATCTATCTATAAATATAAAAAATAACATGGCTATATTCATTTAAATGGTGTTGCGAATACGATAATGAAATATCACTTACTTGTAATCTGTAACTACTATTATTCAATGAAGATAATTGAACATAAATATTCAAGATCTAGGTATAAACCGTGGGAATTTAATAAAGCTTTGATTAGACATCTCTATTTTTAATTAGAGTATGATTTCCACGAGATATATTTTAAATTAACTGTTACTATACAAAGATTTGAGGTTTTTTTTTAAATTTAGTTATTTAAAATAAACCGTCCTTGGTTTTAAATATTTTTTTTTATGACGGTGTCTTTATGTTTAACGGATGTGGAATGAATCTGGAGCTCGTAGATTCATTCGGTGTCGATAATTAATTCGGACTCGAAGACAAAGTCTTTCATTACAAAAGAATGAATATTTTTTCCTTTCAAAAAAATATAAGCGACTTCAAAACACACAAATATTATTCAATAACTTAATTGTATTTATTAGTATTGAATGCCTTTGATTAAGACAATTAAATGTATAAAGTTTTTATTTATATAAAAAGAGATAGGAAGATACTATAAGGCTATTTTTGGAAGTTCTCCATAAGTCCATGAACGGAGCAGCTTTGCCTGATATAACATTAAAAAAACCACACGTTGAATTTATTGTCTCCGCCTTCGATTTTTTTCAGTCCGTTAAAAATAGACGCTATGGAGCATGTCTCACGTCCCATTACGCTTTTTACCTCATTTATTTGATTGCTTGTAATCTAGGTGATATTGTAATATCACCGAGAACAAAATTCCATCTACTTGTGAGACATCGTTATGTCACAAATAATTACAGCAGTAAATTAAAGTCATTGTAATTAGTTGGTTGTTTTGAACTTGGCCGTGTCGACTTGGAACAATTGAGATTTTCCGCGATTATCATCTCGGCAAAGCTTTAAGGTCGCACCGTTAATGAATTAAGTATTAATTTGTCCAAATATACAGCCATATAAAAGGTAAACACACTTCAATAGAGAAAACTTTATCCTAGGATAGAGTTTTTAATATCCGTGTACATATTTTTGAACGCATCAGAGTACTGGTCAATGGACCGAAAAAAGATAGACGCATTTGAGATATGGTGTTGTGAATACCATGGACTGCATGGAAAAGAACCAACAAGTCTATTCTCAACCAACTAAAGATCACCACAAAACTGTCAACTATCATTTACATACGGGTACTTAGCTACTTTGGCCACATTGGCATTGAAGTTGGGGTTTGTCCGATCAAATTAAGATAATTATGGGTGTCAACATCCCTAATGCCCTGAGACCAGCTGGGGATAGAGTGGTGTGGAGGCAGCAAGTCGACGTATCGGTTAGGGCTTTTCAAGACAGGCACGGCCTTTAGTTATGAAGACTATGAAGAAGAAGAGACACACATTTTAAAATTAAGTCCCCTGTCACGTCGCAGAACGTGTCTGTTTGTACGAGATTAACTCAATCCCTAGGTTTTAATTAATTGATAATTGAAACTAATAGACGGTATTCCTGAAGTGGGACTGAAATATAACGGTTATTGTTATTAATTCAACAAGCGGAAGCTAGTACTAACCATTCAGGTAGTTTGAATTTGTATACACGAAAAATTTATGCGTAAACTTTTTAATATATATAAAAATTTACAAAAACTGGTTGCGGTTACATCTAGAAAATAATTAAAATAAATATTTGTAGTTTTAATTATCCCAAAATCATTTAACTTCTGTATTATATTCAAGGTATCAATATATTTTTATAGTATACAATTTTCCATGCAATATCATTGTTTATGTAATCATAAACCATATCATGAATCATGTGACGTGACAAATCGCCATCATCAACTTTATCACGGCATCTGAGTCACATTTAATAGATATAATTATTATAAGAACAATTGCTGTTTTACATACAATTTATTTATTCTGACTGTTAAGATTTAGCTTCTATGACTAAGATACTGCAGTGGCTATTGACTTTAAATATAAACAAGTGGACGATTTTGTACATAGGTAAAAAAATCTGCAAAATATTCCACGTCTTCACGCTGACGTTTATTTACACTTCAATGCAAAATAAATGGACTGCAGTGCAAAGCGTACTCTCTAAATAAATAAACTTAAAATCATATTCAGTCCTTACGTCGCTGTAACCTGACGAAAAGGTAGCATTTGAGGCACTAGCGGTGCCGCAAATAACAACAACAACAACAAAAGATCAAACTTGATATATTTTGCATATGTGTGAAATTTAATGATGGAAGCCAAAGCAGTGCCACTGGCAACACGAAACTTAACTTAAGATCCTGCAACCTTAGCTATTACGTGGTCTAAACACTTTCAATTGTTTAACACCAGCGTCACTTGAAACCTCTTTGATGTTATGCAAATCCGCAACCTCCTACGCCTTAAAAGGGTAGACTTTAATGGTGCTTAGCACGTACGTGTACAAATAAAATAGAACGGCCGTGATTTGATAGTGTATTATGATGACAAAAACAGCGGTACGAATTAAATCATTCCTATTAACCTTCGTTTTAATTACGGATAACGCGTGTAATGGAGCTCATTATTGATTTTCAGTTCAGTGTATTTTTAGAACCGGAAAATGTTAAGATGAAATGATGGATAATTGGTAATTTTAAAAACAAATTCCTTTTTTTCTAGACCTAGCCAAAAGCCACAAGCCTTGATTTATTGACAATGTTTGTTTTGTTTATGTATCATCTCAATATTTTCTTATTTGCTACAATATGACGTTATTGATTGCAAATAATATTTAACTGATTAAGTCACAAATTATGGATTTTGTTAAGGAAGGATGGTATACTTTCCCTCCAAAGTAAAGATAGGATCTTTGACATCTCTAACCACTGACTATCCGTGGACAGTCAGTGGTTAGAGATGTATTATAGATAAAAGAAAAAAGGTTCTATTGTTAGTGTCGTTTTTTCTATAAATGTAGAATACAATTTTTGAAAAGATTTTTATCTTGTTACGCCAAAGAAGTATAACTTCTAACGCGTGTACATAAGTACACACACGTTTTATGAATCTTAATGTATAAATTTATTGAATTTCAGCTTGACGCACAACAAAGGTACACGTTATTCCAACGTGGCCTATGGGAAGTGGCTCAACAGCTTCCCCGAGGTGGAATCAGAGACTTCTCCACCTTCAGGCAGCTCCGACTCCTCTCTATCATCGGCCCAGCTGCCCTACCACCAGACCAGTTAGACAGGGTGCGTGTTACGATAAAGTTTAACCAAAATTAATTTTATTAGTAAGCAGTTAAATTTCCGTACAACAATCATAGAGGAATCCGTTGTCATACTAATATTACTTCTATGCCTTGTGTACAAAAAAATAGCATTAATGAATTATAACTTTTTTATTACACCATGCATACCAAGATAAATTCCAATTAACCTAGCGCCTGATAAAAATTGCATAGCATAATGACACTAAAAGGGCTTGTTCTTAAGGAGATTTAGATATAATAGTAGGGTTTCAGTGTCGATCAAAAAATTATTTCCAAACGAACACCAGTGGCGCTACAACCTTTAAAGGTCTGGGCCTGAGATTTCTCTATCTGTTTGTGTTTGATTTTTTTAATGGGCAAGTAGGTATCAGCCTTCTGTGCCAGACGCATGCCGTCGACTTTTTGGGTTTAAGACGTACCGGTTTCATCATGATTCCTTCACCGTATGTGCGAGTGTTAAATGCGCACATAGAAACTACAGTGGTGCACAGCCGGGGTTCGAACCTACAACCTCAAGGATGGGAGCCGCTCGCTAAAGCCACCAGGCTCCAAAAGTGGTCCAACAGTTCTCCACTGCTGCAAATATTATTTCGTAGTTGAATAAAAATAATCCATACGGTTGACGAAATAAAGCGAAATCTCTAGTTCTAGTCTGGATATGTGTACGACATTTTTTACCATTGCCTGCTGATACTTTAATGCCTTTTCTAATGCTAACCGACAGTAAAAACTTACAAAAATATTTTGTCAAACAGGGATGCGTAATAAATTTGAAAAAAAGGAAGTAGGTACAATACACACTAACTGTATTTTATCTTACAGTACAACCGTATAATAAACGACATGTTAGCGGTATACAACACAGCTGAGATCTGCGCTTACAATGAGCCCTTCAAGTGTGGACTGCACTTGAACCCCGACTTGCAGTTCATCATGTCGCACTCCCGAGATTGGGATGAACTGCAGCATGCTTGGACCGAGTGGAGAAGGAACACGGGAAGGCGGATTAGGGATTTATATGAACAACTTGTAGATTTGACCAATCAGGCGGCGAGATTAAATAGTAAGTTGAATTATTACGTTGTTCATTAATTACAATTTAAACCCTCCACTACGCTACATGTATTTTTAGCAAAACGTATTTTAATTTTATTTAAATATTCTCTTTAAATACAGATACGTATTATCTTTAAATCTTTTTACGGATTGACCATTTGTGAGTCTCTCTGATTCCAGCTACTTATTCAGTTAATAATTTGAAATCGGTCTCGTTGTATCAGGCAGTCTAAAAGGAATATAATAATAACACAAAACCTATAAACAACCATAAAATTTGTCACATAAATAATTGTTTCTGTATGTTTTCAGACTTCACTGATGCATCGGCTTACTGGATGTTCCCCTACGACTCATTCAATATGAGACAAGAAGTGGATGAAGTTTGGGAACAGGTTCGTTAATTTACCTAACAGTTGGTGTTTCTAAGGAGTAAAACTACAAAATATTACTTCTCAAAATCCATGTGTCTAAGTTTGTAAACATTCTTGTTACCTTTGTTGTCTTGAGTTGATGCTTTAAGTATTACCATTTAGGACCGTTTAAGAAACGTTAAGTAAAGGAAGTTTTTATATTAAATTATTGTAATTAATATAATTTCGTTTCCAGGTTAAGCCTCTATACGAGTTACTTCATGCCTACGTGCGCAGGCGTCTGCGTGAAGCATATGGCCCTGAACGAATATCTCGTTCAGCTCCAATCCCCGCTCATGTGCTTGGAGACATGTGGGGACAAAGTTGGAGTGGAATTGCCCAATTAACTCTGCCCTATCCGGGAAAGAAACAGATTGACGTCACACCGGAAATGATTCGACAGGTAAAAAAAATTGTTTGTAGAAAAATTGTAACAAATTTTTATAAATGTTAATTAAGTTTTCTATTCGTATGAACCTATCGAGCATCATTAGGATATGAATTTTGTTTTGTAAATTTAAAAAAAAGCCAGTTCAATCTATTTACTACTCAATAATTTTATTATTCGGTCATACATAGGTACTCGACTCCGTGGACATCTCATCAACATTATTTGTTATAATTACGATTCCTTGTTTTCCAGGGCTTCACACCGTTAACAACATTCCAACTAGCTGAGGAGTTCTTCGTATCAATGAACATGTCAGCTTTACCCCCTGACTTCTGGGCTCTAAGTGTGCTTGAACAACCAGCTGATAGACAAATACACTGCCAGCCGTCCGCCTGGGACTTTTGTAATCGACACGATTACCGGTATTTCTCATTTTAAATTTGCAATACTGAATAATAAATACCAAATTTAAGAACGTAATTGAATTTTTGCTCATTCTAAAATATACCCTAACTAGAATAGATAAAATTACATAAGTAATTGATTAATAATGAAGTAATCTCTGAACAGTGATCTTGATATTTCTAAACCCGAGCCTGGTTTAGAATAATTGTAACATATAGCTTTTCCCGTATATTTTTAAAAAGCAAAAAACTACCTATCATCGAGAAAAAAAATATTTTTTTACAATCTACATTGTAATGACTTGCTGTGCTATGCTAATAAAATTATAAGTCTTGAATATACATTTGAACACACATTTGTTCATCAAAGTATATTAATACTTTATTAAATTATTCTATATATATAGTTATCTCTTAAAATTACTTTATTCATAATAATATATAAATTTTCTTCAGAATCAAAATGTGCACACATCCAGATATGAAGGACCTCATCACTGCTCATCACGAAATGGCGCACATAGAATATTTCTTGTCTTATAGAAACCTTCCTAAAGTGTTCAGAGATGGCGCTAACCCGGGTAAGTTTATTAAAAACATTTATATATAATATATGCCAATGTATCTCAAATACACTTCTTTATATTAATATCAATTATGCAGCATAATCAATTATGTAATAATTAGAGAAACAATAATACCTTAATACATCTTCTATATTTCTGAATAATATTGTTATGGTGCTCAAAAACAATAAATGAGTTAAAAACACTCCTTTGAAAAATTTGGAATTGATCTCACATTCACTTCCTATTATTTTCCACTGATTTTACTACAGTATTTGTACTGGTTTTAGACCAAATGCTCTTATTAAAGTTAATACTTATTATAGTATGTGAATAAATAACTTCTTATATTTAATACATTTAGATTTTCTAATACAAATACGGACAAGATAAATATTATTTTTATTAAAACCTTAACTACTCAGTACACCTACACTGCTTAAGGAACACCAATTATAATGCTAAGTATATATTTTTTATTTACTCAAAGTATATAATATCTATTTTACATTATCTACTCAATTCGGCAGTTGTTCGAATTCATTATATCTAATATATTATTTAATTTATTAGGTAATTTCAATAAATTAATTAATTTTGCTATAAATTTTTTTTAAATAAAGTTTCGTAAAATATTTACAATACCGAATAAGGTTACTGCTGAAATCAACGCCATCTCTTGGCTACGTGGCGCATTGTTACACAAATCCGTATTACAAGAGCAGTATGTTACAAACAATTCTCCCGTTCCCGTTTGTTTCTTGCAGCCATTCATTTTGTACTCGTCCTTCAAGTAACCACATTTGCGTACAACTCGAAGCTTTCCAAATACTGCAAAATAATATTGTAATCAAAAAAACAATGAAAAACATTAAATACCTATTTCATTATTATTAAACAAAGCATTATTTTATTAAATCTTTGTCAGTTACTCATGTGTCACTAGGTATTCAGAGGCTATTTAGGTCATTAAATTTAAAATTAATATATTCTCCTAGAACCACTATTAGAACGAGAAGAACCATTATGAAAAACAATTTAAACTTACTTTCCATTTTGATAATCCTGCAAAACGTGGACTCGACTGGCGGGATGTGATCCAAGGGATCTTTCAGGGAACAATTCACAACGCCTAGGCTAAAATGATCGAAGCCCTCTCCACAGCGAGGGTCGAAGGCACTATTGCAGTCGTAACATAAGACAGATGAGGCTGAAAAAAGATAAGACAGTGATATTTTTTTCAATATCGCGGCGCAGTTGATGTAAAATAACTGACTATATTGCTATTAGGTTTGCATAAGGCGCATCGAAAATTTATTTGTATGTGGATTTATGTAAATAACTATTGCTACTATTAACTTTTATGAGGACAGAAAACAACTATCATTTACCTCAGAAAATTCATTTGATGATGGCAATCATACTTTGACTACGTATTGAATAGTATCGTGACAAATAACATAAAAAATTTAATAAAAGTAAATATACTCTAGTTTAGTTGTCCCATGAAAAGGGAGATGTCCTCATTGCCATTTGGTAGTGATGAAGCGCCTATTTACAGTTTAACAAATATTCAGGCGAGTTATCTTGATATTTAAATGTAAACAAGTAAATGTATCCATATAGCCGTAAGATGTATATTAGTATTTCTAGTCGGTTCTCGCCTTACTTTTCAGTTTGTTTAAAAGTATAATCCATAAAATAAATATTCCATATAGGTAAAGATAGTTTCTCTCAAGTTCACCGCTAATCCAATTCGAGAGGACAGTAAGGTTTCTTTGGCTATGACCTACTTTATTGGGACAAGATCAAGCAATACAATTCACTGAAATTCGGTTTTCGATACACGATTACAGAAATTAATTCTCATCAAAAACATTAAACTAACATAAAAAAAAAAAAATCTATTTGCACATGAAAATTACAATGGTTATTATACAAAGGTTGATGTACTTCGATAGTTATACTCGTTTTGTCCCCTTTGTGTTTGTACCAAAGGTTTTAACTAGAATTAGAAAACGCACTAAAAGGCGTTTCAACTTGTATCAATATATTATATAGGCATGAATTATGCAAAATTATTATAGAAAGTATTGGAAGTATAGAACTAAGATTTATAATTGTTTTAATTGGTATAGAAAATAACCGTGGATAAAATAAACTTTGTACAAATATTTGAAAATGGAATTACTTTCAAATAGTTAACTTGAGATTTTGTATAATATAGGAAAGATCACATCAGTAATTAAATAAAAAAAATTGTATTGTAATTCGAAATTCAAAAACATTCTAACAAATTTAAAAACAGAACACAATAAAGCACTTACCACACTTGACACTCCATAACAAAGATATGGAAAATGTAAAAAGGTTTGATATGAGTTTCATATTGACTATTAAAATAACACAAGTTATGAGAGCACACGTTAGAAAGCAGTTTTTTCACTATCTACATTACGTCAGTGCTAGGAAATTATAATTGAATTAAACTTGTTACTGTGTCCACTTAAGGCGATATAGCGAAACTGTATTTGTAATAAATTGATAGATCGGGTTGTTATTTAACGATTATACAAGACGTGAAAATAAAAAATGGTACAAAGAGGTTCCATTAATTCACGATCTACTTCTACTAAGTAAACTTATCTTTGCTATTCCAATTAAAAATAATCTGGTCACCTTAAAAGAATCTTCTCAAAGCGATTTCTCTGAAATTACAGTGCAAGAGAACTCACTACTCCCAAAATATAAATATATTTTTTCAAGTTCAAATGAACGTCCGCAAGCCAGTTGCCTTTTTCACCTGGCCCTCAAATAATACTTAAAATAGCTGTTCCATAGCATAGCATGCAGTGTACTTAAACTGAAACTTGCCCTAGGCTGTGCATAACGCTGCAAAGCGCCCTCTAACAGTTTAAGTTGTACTGCCCAGGGGCGAATCATTGATGCCATATAACATCCCTAATATGTTTTTTGTAGAAAATTTGTCCGTCATTTTCTACATAAATGATCTATTCGTTATAGAATATTTAGTATTGTTTATAAATAGCAAGCAAGCAATATATAAAGATTCGAACCACAACGTTTGAGAGGTTTTTCTTACGCGTTAGGCAAGCGTCTTTACGACAGATTGCTTCTTAGAGATAAATATTTATTTCATGCATTTGTTATTAACGGACAAAGCTAATTACTTACAAGTTATCCGTTTGGGATGTCTGGAAGCTTACACACACTGAGATGTATGATATACAAAGCACTCATGGTTCATTCTGCTTTGTTATTTATATTTATGCTTGTATTTTTGTTTATTGTCGATAGAACAAAGAATACTGCTCCATAATTATTTTTTGTTATTAAATATTGCCTTTTAACCAATCTCCGGATTTCCAATAACACTGCTCTTTTACGACTTTCAATTGTTACTTGTTCAATAATAATAAAATGTTTATTTTATTCCAAGTCATTTAGGATTTCCGCCTTTAATTTATTGAATACGGAGCGTATTCAATAAATTAAAGGCGTACTTTACTTCATACAATGAAATACCTCTCCAATGTTTTTGTTTAATCGTCAACATTCACACCTTCTGCTCAATCGTGAGTTTTGTAATTAATGTAGTTTATTTTTTTATTTTTTTTGTTAAAGACAATTCACACCAATTGACCTAGTCCCATGCTAAGCTGGTGAAGCTTGTGTTATGGGTACTAGGCAACGGATATACATACATATTATAGATAGATAGACATATAAATACATATTTAAACACCCAAGACCTAAGCACAACACCAAATGCTCATCACATCGATGTTCGTCTCAGCCGGGGATCGAACCCGGGACCCATGGATTCGCAGTCAGGGGTACTAACCACTAGACCAATGAGTCGTCTAAATTTAAATTATTATTAAAGCATTCATAGTTATTTTTGAAGCTTTATAGCTTTTTTAGTCTAGGTTTTTGTTTAGTAATTGTAAAATTTTACTGTTACTAGTATTTTTTTCATTACGTTTGTTACACACCTCTTGCATTAATATCTTTTTCCTTACCAGGTATGCATGTAAAAGGCCGCCCGTTGTTAAGTAACCTGATTTTATTTGTACCACCACCACCGACTTCTTAATAAATGAATAAAGCTCTATTTTTTAAATCGTAATAAAATATGTATGTCAGTACTCCAACGTTTACCGTAACATTTCTAAACAATGGACATCGCCGATATAATAAGATTTATATTTAGAATTACGTTTCCCATATTACGAAATTAAGAGCGAGCGTGTCTAGAAACTGTAAACTGTTCACGTCTACTCGTATTACAATCGTACAATAATAATTGTGGTAGGTGATATAATATCCTACTATTTGTTTTTAATACAAATCGCTCCTAAGTAAAGCAGTTTAAGAAGCTTTGGATAAGATAAGTAAATGATGATACTAGAGAGGTTATACCTCTGTAATTAATCTATAAAGCTTTTTATAAATTTCACGAATACTTAAATGATCCTAATCCTTGGGTTTGATTTGCTCCAGTTCAAACAATTTGTATGACTTGTATCGTATTGGATGACTTGTTTGTATGATACTTGGCGATTAAAAAGAGTGGCGGAAAGTTTCTTGCCAGTTCTTCTTACCCGCTCTACGCCCTTGACTTGCGAACTGGTAGTAAATGTAAATTTACAATTAATTTAACTTCTTTTTGGCGTTCTAGGTGTACTTGTTTACCTATTTGAATAAAGATATTTTGAGTTTGAGTTTTGTAAATGAAAACTTTTTTTTAAGAAATCACTATATGGCATCTGCAAATTGGTCTTACAACGATGTTTGCCAATAGTTGGCAAATGTTCGTTTAATGGACGTTTCACCTAATAACATATAGTAGATTTATGAGAAGAAAAGCGGTCGGTCACGTGACACGGCACGATATTTATTTCTTGGTTATAAATACGGCCTATAATGTATTATAGTAACTCAAGGTAGCATTCTAATGGTGAAAGAATGCAAAAAAAAACAAAAAAAATTATTCAATAACAAATTACATTTTAGCTGATATTGGAGCCCTTGAACTAAGTCTCCGCTCTTCCAATGGCTTAATGAAATAGTAACTTAACAATAATTGAAACCAAAATACTATATTATAAAGAAAAACAGAATGCTAAGACTTATAGTAATAACCTTATTATAAAATAAAGAATTGAATTTGGTCTAGTCTTTTTTGTGATTATTCGTTACGAAAGTACAAATGTTTGGCTTATATTAGTAAACATTACGTTACCTTTTTAACATTTTCGTCCTTGGTTTGTTAATTATCTGATACTCATTAATAATGTTGACAAACAATATTACGAGTCGCACGCGCCGATGTGAATTCACGGAAATTATACTGTTACGATATACATTACGTAACGTACGCGCATCTTAACTGCGCTCTTTTAAAAAGTGTGCACATTGATATAGATTATATAGAAGTGTCTGTATAAAATGATCTAGAAATATCCGGGTGTTGTTGACCCGGCAAATGTTTGTTTTGCCATCTATATTATTTCTAGGAAACATTTTTTTAAGTTCAATAAAAATAACTATCTACAATAATCAAAAATAGGGGTTGATCGTAGAAGGGTGAAAATTAGGGGTTTGTTTGTATTTTGTATGTTGTATCATAAAAAAATGTTTTGGGATTTGAAAGATAGATTTTCAGACTTACTGAATATGATTATAAAATTTCATTTTCATTTTCATGAAATTTTATAATCATAAGGACACAAGAAAACAATTGACACAAAGCCCGGTAATAAAATCTAAAGGATGAGCACATCTGATGGCCTTATCGCTTATAAGCAATCTCTTTCAGAACTCTTATCAATCCTATTACTTTTTACTGTCTATGATAAATCGAAAATTTTCAAGACCGATAAGAATATTTTGTATATAACCTCCGAAGGTTAAAACAAAGAAATAATTAAAAGTGGTTATAATATAATATAAGATAAAAACTTTTAAAGAGAATCACTATTTAATTCTAAAAACTGATAATTAGTCATATCTAGACAAATGTATGTCTTTGATACAATTTTTTATTTAAATTGCGGCTCAACAAAACGAGGTCAAGTTCACTGGTTAAGCCAATTCGAAATCATCTTTCTACGCCGAATTATTTTTGCGTTCACAAACCATTTGTTGAACAAAGCTTCTTTGTTTTTATTTTTCGCTTTCACAACATATTCTTAATTCAAATTATTTAGTAACAGCAGTTTCACGTTACCTTGCTCTTTAAAATCCATCCAAAACAGATTAAGTACTAATCCCAGTGCAATTTTTTTTTATGTAATAGGAGGCAAACGGGCAGGAGGCTCACCTGATGTTAAGTGATACCGCCGCCCATGTACACTCACACTGCCAGAAGGCTCGGAAGTGCGTTGCCGGCCTTTGTGGCAATATATCAGGATTGTAATTTTACCTCATTTAATTTTGTTAATTGAATTTTCGTTTTACGTATGAAGAAAAAGCTCTATTCTCATCAAAGCTATGGAGTGGTATAAAAAAATCGAATTATTATGTATTAGTCTAGAAGGAAGTTCGTACAAAACTACAGCGGGCAGTGGGTTGTTTCCGGCAAGTGCCGCGTCAGTTAATCAATCGGGTCCAATCCACTTCCGTACTTTCTCTTGATCGCTTCTTCTTGTACATATAATTTAAATGAATTTGTATTCAGATTTTTATAAAAAGACACAATCTACCGTATAATAAGAAGACTTTATAATGGTTACATAGTAACGGTACAATCTCGAGTCCACGACTTAATTATTTAGATTTAAAAAATTCTCGTGTCACAATGTTCGTTCCCATACTCCTCCAAAACGGTTCGACCGATTCTGATGAAATTTTTTATGCATATTCAGTAAGTCTGAGACTGCTTTTACCTATGTTTCAAACCCCAAATAAGGGTTAAAAAAATTTTGATTTTATTTTTTAAACCATTTTTTTGTTTTTATTTTTTTTATGATACAGCATACAAAAATACATACAACCGCTAATTTTCACCCCTCTACGATCAACCTGTATTTTTTATTATTGTAGATAGTTATTTTTATTGAAATAAAAAAATGTTTCCTAGAAATAATATACATGGCAAAACAACATTTGCCGGGTCAGGTAGTAACTATATACATTTATCTAATGCCCGAACATGTTTATTTCTGCTTTTAGAACCGTTTTTCAGAAATCTGTTTGTTCACTAACACATTATGTTTTTACTAAGCGTCATATGTGTAGTCTTGTTATAAATAGTAATATTTATGTTACAATAAATATCGAACTGCAGAAAGCTTTATATGTACCAGAAATGAAACAAAGATTATAAAATTTATTATTTCAGGTTTCCACGAGGCCATTGGTGAAACAATAGCTCTTTCGGTATCCTCACCTCGGCACCTTCAGACCCTGGGTCTGGTCCAGCGGTCAATTGATGACACAGCTCACGACACCAACTACTTATTCACCCAAGCTATGGACAAACTGGCTTTCCTTCCCTTCGCCCTCGTCATGGATCGTTGGAGATGGGACGTGTTTACAGGAGACGTCAGAAAGGAGCAATACAATTGTCATTGGTGGAGATTGAGGTAACAATATATAATGTAATATAATATATATATATATAATACAACAATTTTGATTCTCATGTTCAGGTTTTTCACTTGTTAAGTTTAGGGTTATTGAACTGTGATGTCTGAGGTGAAGTCTATGAGTTTTTTAATTGATACATCGTCTATTATACCTGTTATTTTTTGCAAAAGCCTAGAGGTAACTTTTGATATAGCTATAGCATTTGTTACTACTATGATCAAAAGGTAAATTAAATTTTATTATAAGATAATTGGGTTTTTGTTTCGTTCGTAATTTATTTAAATAAACATCTAAAGGAATAAATTAAGGATTTAAAACTCGACGATTCTAGTGCTATACATATATATTACTAGCCGTTCGGCCCGCTTTCTGACGAATTAAAATAAATTTTATGTTTTCATTATTTTTTTTTTTCATATTTTTATTATTCTTCTTTTTAACTTCCCGCCAAGAAAATTAAAATATTTCGAAAATCGAGTTTTTAACAGATGTTGACGTTTAGAGGTTCTAGGAAGCCTCCCCAAATGTTTCCCGGTGAAGTCCGTATGGATAAATTTTCATAAAAGTAAAACAGCAATAAAAAAATGAAGGAACGTTGGAATAAATAAATAGCCATAAACCATCTAGGAAAAATTTCGCATCGAATGGTGGTAGTTTCATGTCGATACGATCAGTGGTTTAGGCGTGAAGGAGCCTCAAACGAAGACCATTTTTCTTTATATTATTATATGTTTAATAGTAAAATAGGACCGGTTAATTCCCCACGCAATTTCCATAAATTTTCCGCAATTGTTGCGTAATCGAATAGTGTCCGAATCGTTAACTAAGTATAACGGAATAATTAATGGAATCAATCATACTAAACTTACGTGCATGGCTAATTACCCACAAGTAGTGCGCGTCTAGACTGTTGTATTAGATAACGTTAATTAACTATAACGTAACGTAATTGCTATCGTACGCACAGTGTAAAAAGTTATTTTAAAAGTATGGGTAATTCCGTATAGATCTGTAACACTTTCATTCTTTTAAAAATTCAGATTTTCTTAGAATAGCAATAATAATAAATGCGTACTTCATCACCTTGATGGCTGGAAGTCTTCCACAGTCACTTCTTCTACTTCCACTTCGCTTCAGAATACATTCGACTCCCGTTGCGAGTCTTCCCTAGGAGATCTTCAATTGTTAAATAAGGGCACACCTTCCTCAATGGCCGGCAAAACATCCACCAAATGGGTGTCCATGGGCTGCGATGACTGCCCATTTTGGGTGTCCCGTAGGATTCTTTGCATTCTATCCTACGCATATAAAAACAATTCATAATAACAAAATAAAGAACAACCAAATTTAGCCATAGAATCATCCATCTATGCCACATGCCTGGTCGTTTTAAAGTGACGGTCACAAACGTGTAGATTGTATGATGTGAAAAAGGAAATATGAATTATTGTCAACTTCAAATAAACAATTGACGTTTGGTTATTCTGAATGCGGTTTTATTTTTATGAATTTACAATAATAATACGTTTTTGTTTGGAAAACTTGGCTTGAAAGTGCCGTCATCTTCCGAATAACATTCGAGTAAACTGGATTTTAAATGTAGGATGCATGCATGGTTGATAATTAAGAGCGAATATAATAATATAATTAAAGTAGAAAGTGTCTCGTCAAGTAACAAATAAAGTTGTTCATTTTTATAATTTTTAAGTCTAATAACAATAGTGATTTAATATTCGCAAAAACTGAATGAATATTTCAGATCTTCTTGTTATTTATTATGTATTACTGTAATGTTTTTTACGCTTTTACGCGTAAGATACATATATTTAAAGCACTGCACGGCACAAACATAGATATAACTTCAGTATGTATCAATGGGTTTTCATTTGGAAAATCGGAAATTTCTTTTAAAAAAAGGCACGGAATATCGACTACGGTTTGTAAAAATTAACTATATCACCATAAGAACTTTTCACGTAAAAAACACAATATACATTGAGTGCTGACAACTTTCCACTTTATTAAAACAATAGGATACAAGTTGTGTCGTAAAATTATGACATTCTTCGTATTTAAGATTTTTTGTAAATTTCTTTAATCAAATCTTAAATAAGAGTCTTTTGAAAAATGTAATACACTTCTTCCAGGGAACAATACCAAGGCGTGAAACCACCCGTTCTTCGTTCAGAGCTCGACTTCGATCCCGGTTCCAAATACCACATTCCAGCCAACATTCCGTACATAAGGTAAGACATAATCCTTACGTACACGAGAATATTACTTCCTTATGGCTGATTTAGTGTGCCGTAATACGTAATCGAAAACAGTGTAGACGAAATTTCTAAAGTGACAAGGCAAAAGCAAAATTCTGCATCAGGAAGTACTAAAGAATGTCAGTGTTCCTGTCGGATTAATTGAGCAACCGGTTTGAGCCGTCACGCAGATGTATTTTTCTAAGCTACTCTTATGTGGATTAACCACAGTCTTATACATGTTACGTAAACTTTTACATAACTTTACCTATCTAGAGCGCTTGTTTCAAAATCACTTCGCAATGAATAATTGTCTATTAACAACATACTATTATTAATATTGAAATATCCGTCTTAAGATACAATGAAACTTTGCCGCTGTTCATTCGACGGTGTTTATTTTAAATTCCTTACAAATTATTTATGGTCTGTTTTTGTTACTACATCTGTCATATATTTTATTTAGATTATTGAATAATAGACTGTAATATTTGTCTGTCTGTTAATAATGTCTTCAACAATTGCCTAATAATTTGGTGAATCTATATATATAAAAAAGAAACCCGTTTTCCGTTGTCACGACATAACATGAAAACGGCTTGACCGATTTGGCAGATTTTTTTATATAATATTCCTTGAAGTACGAGGATGGTTCTTAGGAGAGAAAAATTTAAAAAATTGAAAAAGTCTAAAAACATTACTTTTCTATATTCCCATACAAAATATTCGTAATAATACTTAAAAGTCAATTTGAACTTTAATACCATATCATAAAGTTCAAGTGTTAGGGGAGGGCTTCCGGGAAGGTAAATTTTTATTTTTTGACATAATGTATTTGTTGTCTTATCAACTTTCTTTTTTTATCTTACTAGACTAGACGGTCCGTCCCCCCGAATAGCAGAATAAGCATTTAAAAAAATAAAGAATCGACTGTTAGGCGGTACGATGTTCGCCAGGCCAGCTAGTACATATTTAAATAAATGTCAATTTGGATTCGAATAAAAGGAAATCTGTTATTTGTCATTATTTAATTTTTAATGTAACAGTTCTTTAATACTTTCGGTTTTATTTACAACACAGTCATGTCGAAAACATAAACATAGGAAATAAAATACTTAGTCGACAACTAAACACAAAACAACATTTAAAGCTAAAAAACAAAGAAGAGATCAGTCTATTAATGATGGTATTCATGACCATTCTCGTAACTTCCTAAGCTGTGGCCTTCCAGCCCTTCAAGACCACCTTCATGGCCACCGTAACCTTCATTACCACCTTCATGACCACCGTAACCTTCAAAGCCGCCACTCAATCCTTCTTCATGAAAGCCACCACTTAAGCCTTCATGGCCTCCATAGCTACCACCGCTGCTGCCACCGCCGTAACCACCGCCGTAACCACCGCCGTTAACCACCGCCGTTACCACCGCCGTAACCACCGCCATGTTGCTCTTCGTGGTGCACAATTGGTACCGGGATCTTAACTGGGTAGGGCACATGCTTTTCAACTGGGTACGGTACATGTTTCTCGATATGGACCGGCACTGGTCTGTCAACTGGCACCTTCACTGGAATAGGCACTTTCTTTTCGACCGGGTAGGGGATGACTTTTTCGACTGGGTAAGGAGCCGGTACGTGAACCTTGACTGGATAAGGCACTGGTTTTTCTACGTGCACTGGTACTGGGCGGTCTACATGTACTTTCACTGGGTAAGGTACAGGTTTCTCCACGGGGTAGGGAACTGGCTTCTCGACTGGTACTGGCACAGGCTTCTCAACTGGTACGGGCCTTGGGTGGTCGACATGTACGTGTACAGGGTAGTGGACAATCTTCTCTACTGGGTACGGTACGTTTACCTTAACTGGAACCTTAACCGGGAATGGTACGTGTTTCTCTACCGGGTAGGGGTGGGGTACGTGAACTTTGACAGGAACGGGGACATGTTTTTCCACTGGGTAAGGAACGTGCTCGTAAACTTTGACTGGCACTGGTCTGTCAACGTGGACCTTCACAGGAACAGCTACTTCCTTTTCCACGGGATATGGCTTTGAAATGTACTCGGGTACTTTGATATACTCTTTTACCGGGTAGTGAACCGTTTTGTATACGGGGTACGGATGAGGCACAGGCACTTTGACTGGGTATGGGACGTGCTTTTCCACTGGTACAGGGATGTGTTTTTCAACGGGGTATGGTACTGCGACGTTTTTCACAATTGTCACAGTCTTTTCATGTTCTTCATGGCCATGCCCGATGCCTCCTTCAAAACCTCCTAGAGATCCTCCGAAGCCGCCATGGCTGCCAAAGCTGCCGTATCCACCACTGTAAGACCCGCCGTAACCACCGCCATAACCGCCGCCGTAACCACCGCCGTAGCCGTGGTCGCCATATAAGTCAGATAAACCTCTTTTGTCTTGTTTTTTGCTGTCTTCAACATTGCTGGATTCAGCCTTTGTGTCCTTCTCCGCCTTCTCCTCTGCCGTGGCCAGGCTAATAGCCACGGCCAAGATTAAGGTAGACCTCTGCAAAAACAATAACTATTACTTTCACCTGAGCTATTTTAATCAAATTATTTTAAAAAGTAGTATTGATATTTTTATAAAATGTTTTTAAATTCATTTCATTAATAATAATACGAGTAATTAAAAGTTTAACTAATTATCATTTCAACTAACCAGTAGCCTCATATTCGCTTTGCTTGATTCAGCGAAGGCTGCGCAGGAGTGTAGTGTGTGAGTCTCGACTCTTGGTTTTATACCGAGTGCAAGTTATTTCGTAGATCAATGAAGTAAACACTTTCGCTTGTATCTAAACAACGCGGTGTATGTGTGCGTGTGAGGATTTATATGATGATGAATATTGAGTTTATAAAAAAAAATTATACAAAACTCACTTCGGTCACCTCGTTAAAAACTTCGAAAAACGTCGTTAAAGTCTTAATAACATAATTATATAGCTCGTAATATAACAATTTGTATAAAAATAAATTGTCGATCAAACCACAACGGCGGTATGATATCGATAACACGTTAATAATCTTACAATATTAATCCATAATCCTATATTAAAGATTCATCAATAACCAAAAAGCTTGTTTCTTAGAGAAAAGGTAACGTCAAGTGCAGAGATGTAAGGTTATGTCAGGCCATACAATAGAGTTTGAACGTTTATGCACGTGTAAATGTAATAATGCATCTAAAACAAATACAATAACTCGATTTTAAGTCTTCACATTAAATTAAAGGCATACAAAGGTACGTACAAATTTCAATTTGTTACTTGTCCAACAAATGGGTATAAAATTTTTACTTATTTCCGAAATTGATTAGATTGGTTTTATCTGTATAATCGAAATAATGGAAAGAAAGGAACTCAAGGCCCTTCTTTGGGTTGCCATTCGTTACCAACCGAATCCCCGAAAGGTATATGAATATTATTACAATATTAAGTGGTGTTTAAATATATTTATTGCATATACACTAGTATATATTTAACCTTAGTGATATTATTTAACTTATTTTTATTGTACTATTATGTTAGTCGTTACAGTTCACATCAAACCAATTATATAATATCGATAAATACACTAAGTATCTTCGATTCAGTCTCATATAAATTGTTAGATAATCATAATCACCAGATGCGATTTACACATCACCAATGCAATAATAACCACATGTACTCTAACAAGATATTACACAGTAGATCAGTCTACTAGCTCCTTAGTAAAATAATTATTACTTCGTCCTTTAAATAGAAAATGATTTTGAAAATAGCTTTTTGATTAAGTTACTTAAGTTAAGATGAGATTATAACTAGTGGTTTAATTTTCAAATTATTTATTTCATATTGAAACCTTGAGATTAAATCAAATACTCAGTTAATAGACATATTTAAGTATAACGGAAACGAGAAGAAAGAGTTATTTTTTCATAATATCGTGATTTGAAATTCGTATATAGATTTTGTAATGTAATTAAAATCGTTGATTATGTGATCAAGAAAACTACTCAAGGCAAGGAATTTGGTAACTCACTAATTCATATTCATATTTTCGTTAATCTTGATTAAACCGTGGTGTTTTCGTTAAAGCTTTTATATGAAATGTGTATAGCAGAGTTTTCTGTAGATTTGTTTTAAGACTAATAACTGATTCTTTGTACATTGGAGCCTAAATATTTGTCTATAAAACATTACAGAAACGTAAAATATAACGTTACGGATGAATATTTCTGCATTTGTGATTGGTCCGGAAAGTCTGACCGTGTCGCATTTCTGTGATTAAACCAGAGATGCTGTTCAGTTCTCAACTAAACTGGAAAACCACTTTGTTGCTCGTATATTTAAATTATTACATATTAAAGAGATTTTTTTTTATAAGAAAAGCGTTATTTTCGTCATTATCTTAAGTACGACACGTTTTCCACTTCAGTTTTCATCGCGATTAAAAAAAATCACACCATTACCAAATTGCTACCAGTGGTACATTATTTTAAAACCTAAGTGGGAAGTAGTAGAAAGACTGAAATAATCGATTTGAATAAGATTACGACTCGGCAAAGCTTCGATTGTATTAAAGCTTAATTTCCCAGACATTAACGATTACATCACGATTGTAGAATTTCCTAACAAAGGCTCTATATTCTTGTTTATGGTCTAACATGAATCACAATAGTTCCTATGCGTTTCTACTAGACATTAATAAAAACAATTAGTGTATTGCTTAATTTGAAATATTTAACCTTGTTCACGCTTTCCTTACCCTTGATTCTGATAAAAATATTGTAAAAGAAAATTTACACTTATTTTATGTTAAAAACTATTACATTGCCTAAGGTTTCCCGCCATTAATCAATTTATATATAAAAACATTTTCACAGAATAAGCTGCGATTTATTCATTTTTATTTTCAATTTAGAATACTGGCGAACTTTCGCGTTTTTTTTACATCGAAAAAGAGTATCAAGTTAACATTTCTAAAAAACATTATGTTTTTGACTTTTAAGAGGTAAAGGGAATTATCACATATTATATTTATATTATACTATATAATACAGGTTAACATTAACAAACATTTCTATAAGCTTTTAGATAAACTTAATATCTATTAAATCTGAATCATTGTTTAGATTACGGGGAGTCTTATCGCGATAATTTCAATTTGAGTTGCCCACACAATTGACAATATTGCGAAGTAACCTTTCTAAGACTCTAACATATTAAACGCGTAAAGCTTGTATGAAAATATTTTATATTATTTATATACAAATATTTCTTTCTCTGTTGAAACTCTTTTGTTACTAGATAATTATCAGTATCATCAATATCAGTTCAGTAGTAGAGTCCATATAAATACAAATCTCGCTTAAGCTTCATCGTAAATTTACAAACCATAAATCATGAGGTTCACTCCTCTGTAAAGTATTATTTATTGCGTGAAATTCATTCATTATCAGACATCGAAACAAAATGCGTAATTTCATTCGCCTTCCAGGACAGCTTTTTAAGGCACATACCGGTAAAGTCCTTCAAGATAAGATCCTTAAAAGACGATGTAACTGCCGGTGGCACCTAAGGTAAGTGAGATTATGAACCAAAAAACAATAGAATATATAAAAAACCTAGAAGTATTTCTTCACTTGACACGGTCAAAATGTTTATGTTTAAATATAAAACTTATCTTATGATCACGAATATTAATTTTCGTGCCAAAACTGTATTAAATTATTAATTCGTGCTTATAACGATTTTACAATTACGGAACTAGATTATAAAATTATGACATCAGTTTGACAATTAACATCGCCAGTCACCCGTGATCATTTATGTAATTAATCGAATCAATGATACAATTATCTATATTAAAATGACTTTTGATGGATGTTTATGTTCACCGCAGTTCCGTAGAAGGTAACACAATTGGTGAAGTCAAGCCGTTCGATTCTCGTCTAAACATTAATTGTCGTAGAGTATTGCTTGTTTTACCTAGGAATTAGATTCAGAATCAGGACTTAGGCCTAAATATGACTAGTATGTCAAAACCCTATTTGATTTATAATCCTTACTGTTGATGTATATATAATTTATCATATCGATTTAAATAAATATTACCTGACTTTACATAATTTGAATAATTATTACAATTATTGGGTAATTCTCTAATTTTTCAAATTATATATTTGTAAAATAAAATTTCATAATCTATTTCTGGTTCAGACTCCGTAGCCTTATACAAGAGCGGAGGCGCTTTTAACGTTTCTTAGATGACAGATTATGGATCATACCTACTTATGGTATAAGGCCATTCAAAGAGAGTTTATTAAACAGATTTTTTTGAACAATAATAGTTAGAGTTGTTTACTATGGAAATTCTAAAATACTTTATTCAAATTACATATTCGATTGTTACCAAATATCCTTTTAACATCAGTATGATTTATAAGCGCTCGCGTAATCCCGGAAACCGCGTCTCGCCAGCGTCTAACTTACAAGTTTTATGTTACACTATCAGATAAATTATTGACTTGTTAAAAACTTTTTGCCAAAGATTCGTTAACTTACTTAGAAATAAAATCTTAGTATTTAATTTTGTTTAAATGTTAGCTTAGTAAATTTTATTAAACGTATATGTAAAAATACATTATAATATTTTCTTCAAAATGTAGAACTTACGACTATATAAGAATTGTACAGTTACATCAGATTTTGGAAAATAACCAAGACTTTCAAATTCTGGTATGCAATAGTCCTAGTTTTTAAGCAGTGTCGCCAAAACTTTTTATACAAATATTGGAACTGGAATTGGCAGTAAAATTTTGAGTTTTTTTGTCGTGTTTGAAATCTACATGAATAAATGAAATTTTTCATCCTAGTGCAAAAGAGAAAATGAATTGCCCCAATTCTCACTTGGAATTTTATGATTTTGTACGTCTAGGTCGGAAATATTTTTACACGGTTTAGTGGTATGACATAAAATAACTAAAATATTTTTTTATTGCTAGTAATACTGTTTACATTAGAAGCTCTTGTAAGAATCTTCATCTATAAAACCATTCAAAATAATACTTACGCAAAAGAAAAAATCTTGCATTACTTCAAAGTCGTTACAAAATACCTCATCAATCAAATTTATAACCAAGTTATTTAATGTAAATCAGACAACAAAAAACCATCCTATTAATAACTAATTGAACAATTAAATCGAACATGAAAGGATTATGAAAGAGCCACGTTTATTCTAATAACTCATGCGCATTTTAACTTATGCTTATAAAATAATGTATTAATCTTAGATATAACTATTACGATATTAATAATACGTATTATAAAACATAATAAGTGTTAAATAAAAATGGAACTTGGTCTTGGATTTTCTTCATTTCTTTAAAAAAAAAATTAATTCGTCACCAAATAATACAATACATAAGCATAATATACATGCGTCTTACACATTTAAGTTTGTATCGGTAACTTAAACTGGGAAAACCTGTGTCAAAAGCAAAACACGCCGTCGATTTTTGTGTCTTAAACGTTCTACTTTCGATTATACGTTATTATGTTTATAAAGGACACTAGTAGTAATTAATAAATTACGTACATACAAAAATCCATTGGTGTATAGCCAGGTTTTAAACTCAGTTCTCACACTTGAGCGTCGGGCGCCTCGCTCGGAAATCATTATTTTTTT